ACAGCTTAAAAAGTTTAACCGGGTCAATCCTACCGGGGAACTTTACTTACCAAGCTTCTGACGCCCCAAGAATTTTAACAGGCGGTCAATCCCCACTCAGGGAATTTAACTTCCAAGCTTTAGACAGCCTTAAGAATTTTAACACTGGTAAACCTCCATGGGGGAAACTTACAAAACAAGCTTTAGAATCTAAAAAGTTTAACAGCGGGTCAATCCCCATCGGGGAACTTTAATTTTCCCAATTTCTAGAAGTCCTTAAAAAGTTTAAAGGCTGTCCATCCCCCACTCGGAACAAAATTCCCAACTTCTGACAGTCCCTAAAAGTTTAACGCTGGTCAATCCTCCACTCGGGGAATTTTATTACCAGCTTCTAGCAGTCCTTAAGAAGTTTAAACTGGTAAATCCCCACTCGGGGAAACTTTATTACCAATTTAACAGTCCTTAAAAATTTAACAGCGGTCAATCCCCACCAGGGAACAAAACTTACAACTTCTGACAGCCCCTTAAAAAGTTTAACAGCGCAACCCTCCCTCAGGAATTTTACTTACCAACTTTAACAGCCCTTTTAAGAATTTTAAAGGGCGGGCATATCCAGCCACTCAGGGAACTTTACTTACCAAGCTTCTAGAGAGGCCTTAAGAGTTTATACAGGCTGGTCAATCCTCCACTCAGGAAACTTTTCTTACCAAGCATCTAGACAGTCCTTAAGAAGTTTAACAGGCATGGTCTATCCTCCACTCAGAGAACTTTATTAACAAGCTGTCTAGACAGTCCTTAAGAAGTTTACGGGGGCTGGTCATCCGCCACTTAGGGAACTTTACTTACCAAGCTTCTAGACAGTCCTTAAGAAGTTAACAGGCTGGTCAATCTCCACTCAGGGATTTTACGTACTCATAGCTTCTAGACAGTAGCCAGTCCTTAAGAAGTTTTAACAGGCTGGTCTATCCTCCACTCAGAGACTTTACTTACCAAGCTTCTAGACAGTAGTCCTTAACGAAGTTTAACTGGCTGGTCAATCCTCTCAGGGACTTTACTTACCAAGCTTCTTGACAGTCTTAAGAAGTTGAACAGGCCTGGTCAATTCCTACCACTCAGGGAACTTTACTTACCAAGCTTCTAGACAGTCCTTAAGAAGTTTAACAGGCTGGTCAATCCTCCACTCAGGGAACTTTACTTACCAAGCTTCTAGACAGTCCTTAAGAAGTTTAACAGGCTGGTCAATCCTCCACTCAGAGAACTTTACTTACCAAGCTTCTAGACAGTCCTTAAGAAGTTTAACAGGCTGGTCAATCCTCCACTCAGGGAACTTTACTTACCAAGCTTCTAGACAGTCCTTAAGAAGTTTAACAGGCTGGTCAATCCTCCACTCAGGGAACTTTACTTACCAAGCTTCTAGACAGTCCTTAAGAAGTTTAACAGGCTGGTCAATCCTCCACTCAGGGAACTTTACTTACCAAGCTTCTAGACAGTCCTTAAGAAGTTTAACAGGCTGGTCAATCCTCCACTTTACTTACCAAGCTTCTAGACAGTCCTTAAGAAGTTTAACAGGCTGGTCAATCCTCCACTTTACTTACCAAGCTTCTAGACAGTCCTTAAGAAGTTTAACAGGCTGGTCAATCCTCCACTCAGGGAACTTTACTTACCAAGCTTCTAGACAGTCCTTAAGAAGTTTAACAGGCTGGTCAATCCTCCACTCAGGGAACTTTACTTACCAAGCTTCTAGACAGTCCTTAAGAAGTTTAACAGGCTGGTCAATCCTCCACTAGAACTTACTACCAAGCTTCTAGACAGTCCTTAAGAAGTTTAACAGGCTGGTCAATCCTCCACTCAGGGAACTTTACTTACCAAGCTTCTAGACAGTCCTTAAGAAGTTTAACAGGCTGGTCAATCCTCCACTCAGGGAACTTTACTTACCAAGCTTCTAGACAGTCCTTAAGAAGTTTAACAGGCTGGTCAATCCTCCACTCAGGGAACTTTACTTACCAAGCTTCTAGACAGTCCTTAAGAAGTTTAACAGGCTGGTCAATCCTCCACTCAGGGAACTTTACTTACCAAGCTTCTAGACAGTCCTTAAGAAGTTTAACAGGCTGGTCAATCCTCCACTCAGGGAACTTTACTTACCAAGCTTCTAGACAGTCCTTAAGAAGTTTAACAGGCTGGTCAATCCTCCACTCAGGGAACTTTACTTACCAAGCTTCTAGACAGTCCTTAAGAAGTTTAACAGGCTGGTCAATCCTCCACTCAGGGAACTTTACTTACCAAGCTTCTAGACAGTCCTTAAGAAGTTTAACAGGCTGGTCAATCCTCCACTCAGGGAACTTTACTTACCAAGCTTCTAGGCAGTCCTTAAGAAGTTTAACAGGCTGGTCAATCCTCCACTCAGGGAACTTTACTTACCAAGCTTCTAGACAGTCCTTAAGAAGTTTAACAGGCTGGTCAATCCTCCACTCAGGGAACTTTACTTACCAAGCTTCTAGGCAGTCCTTAAGAAGTTTAACAGGCTGGTCAATCCTCCACTCAGGGAACTTTACTTACCAAGCTTCTAGACAGTCCTTAAGAAGTTTAACAGGCTGGTCAATCCTCCACTCAGAGAACTTTACTTACCAAGCTTCTAGACAGTCCTTAAGAAGTTTAACAGGCTGGTCAATCCTCCACTCAGGGAACTTTACTTACCAAGCTTCTAGACAGTCCTTAAGAAGTTTAACAGGCTGGTCAATCCTCCACTCAGGGAACTTTACTTACCAAGCTTCTAGACAGTCCTTAAGAAGTTTAACAGGCTGGTCAATCCTCCACTCAGAGAACTTTACTTACCAAGCTTCTAGACAGTCCTTAAGAAGTTTAACAGGCTGGTCAATCCTCCACTCAGGGAACTTTACTTCGTTACACAGATTACGGAGATAGTAGATAGAACAGAACAACTCTCTCTCAAGGGGCTCGTACCCGATAGGGGGGATAGGCATGTACTGAGGGGGGAGATTACGTGTCAACTGTACAATCATATAACTGACACGTGCGCGCGCGCCATCAAAATGATCACGGGAAATAATCACGTGACCTGACAGCGTGAGAAACTCAACATATTTAATAATAAATAAGTATGTATTTATATACATATATATATATATATTGATTATAATATAAGTATGTATATTGAAGAGACCTGATAAAGTGCGCGAGTATTGCACATGAGCCTTGGTTTGAAGTCTCCTAAGTGAACAGCTATCTTCTGTATCATAGTCCGTCTCATCTCACTCATCCAGATAGCTTCAGGCGTGTCAAACTCCCCCAGGTAGATTTCACTGAACTTAGCAGGACCGTGGTTCTCTAGGAAGTAGATCATCGCCTGAAGAAACATATTGTGTGATTATAGTGTGAGACATATTGTGTGATTATATTTATAGTTGTAGCATCCTGCATAACTCTTGTAATCTAGCCTAAGATAGGTTCTAGCTGAAAACATTAGAAAGGTATTTATCTAGATATCTCATAGATTTTCAAAGTACATAGTTATGTGTGAACAACATTGAAACAGAATAATGTGCTTATATTGCAGCAACCCTAACTAACTCACACCGGGAAGAGAGAGCCCCCAACTTCCTTATATGGGCATCACGTGGTTAATTATTACCTTATATGGTAATGTAACTATAGCAACAATACCTTATGGTAGTGTTCCTATGGCAATTAAACTCACGCTAGGCAGCAGAGGAGAGAGAATACTGTTGATGGCAGTGTCAGCACTGTCACCCTGTCTGAAAGCTTGTCTCAAGTGCGTGTTCTGAAGGAACGTTGCTATAGGCTTCACGTTGCTTCCTGCGGATAAACACGTAGTTTTTAAGGAGTTTTTTTGGTTCGTCGACACTTTTGGATACAGGATCTTTATAAACAAAACATAAAGTACACAAGACTTTTGAAACAGCCTAGCCTGTATGTTTAAAAATTAATCTTACCTGTGTACATGAGGATGAAATAGAACACTCCAGTCTGATAAAGTCGCGGGAGAGCTGGGTTATCTGCCATTATGTTATCTAGCAGTATTGCCACCTGGTGACATTTATGTTATCTAGCAGTATTGCCACCTGGTTACATTTATGTTATCTAGCGGTATTGGCACCTGGTTACATTTATGTTAACTAGCGGTATTGGCACCTGGTTACATCTATGTTATCTAGCAGTATTGCCACCTGATTACATTTATTTTATCTAGCAGTATTGCCGCCTGGTGACATTTATGTTATCTAGCAGTATTGACACCTGATTACATTTATGTTATCTAGCAGTATTGCCACTTGGTTACATTTATGTTATCTAGCCGTATTGGCAAGTTAGTCAAGAAAAGCAGCAAGCTAGACGATAATAACTGGGCAGTTAGAGTAGCTACTGATCTTGAGGAAGCAGCGAGCAAAGGTCAGCAGCGTGAGGTATGGGCAAAGATCAAGAAGATCTCTGGTAAGAACAAGAAGCCTCAAGCATATTGTGTCCGGGAAAAGGACGGTAGGAAGATCACGGATCCCCAACAGCAGAGGGATAGGTGGAAGGAGCACTTTACTGAACTTCTGAACCCTCCATTATCAAGTGTCAACCTTGCCGACCTTGATACAGTACCACCCCAACCCCACTTTAACTCTCTCTCTTGTTCGGATGGACCACCCACCAGAGACGAGATTAGTTATTCCCTGACAAAGCTTAAGAACAACAAAAGCCCAGGAGTGGACGGGATAACTAACGAGCAACTGAAGTATGGTGCGAGTGCTCTAGTTGATCAACTAGAGTGTCTATTCAAGAAAGTGTGGGAAGAAGAGACTGTTCCTGAAGATTGGTTAAAGGGTGTGATCATTGTTATTGGGAAGAAAGGAGACACTTCAGTCTGCGGGAACAACAGAGGGATCACCTTAAGGTCTACAGCATCTAAGCTTTTTCAGATGATTCTTCTTAAGCGGTTACATGCTGGTATGGAGTGTCTTCTCAGGGAGAATCAGTGCGGATTTAGACAGAACCGCTCATGTATTGATCAGATTTATTCTCTCCGAACTATTATTCATAACTGTCTTGAGTTTAACATTCCTCTTTACATTAATTTTGTCGATTTCAAGGCAGCGTTTGATTCTATCAGAAGGACTTTATTTGGTGCAGTATGAGACACTATGGGCTGCCTGAAAAATATGTCAGAATATTTCAGTCATTTTTTGGGGGTACCATGAGTGCCGTGAGGGTTAATGGGGAGCTGACAGACTGGTTTGATGTTAACTCAGGCACAGGTCAGGGTGACATTCAAGCACCTCCTGTCTTTAATTTCTGCCTAAACTTTTCTGCATTTCTGGCTGAGACCAACAAGATCATCAGTCAAGGCGCAGTGCTGCAGAAAGAGATGAAGACGGTCGAGGAAAAGGTCATTCTGGACACCGATTATGCTGATGACATGGCTATTATGGACAACTCAGGGGAAGGCCTACAGGAGTAAACTGACCTATTAGTTCATTACAGCTCCTACGCTGGGCTCAGAATAAATGCAAAGAAGACCCAATGCATGGCTGTAAGCAAGTGCGCCTCCCAGCGACCTTTCATCAAGGATGATTGTATTGAGCTGTCGGTTGAGGGTGAACCCGTCGAGCAGGTTAGCAACTTTGTCTACCTGGGTGCAACTATCAGTGGGGATGGGACAATCAACAGAGACCTGGATGTCCGTATCCAGAAGGCTAATGGCGCCTTTCATCAGCTCTGGAACATTTGGAATAGCAGAACTATAAAGACTCCAACCAAGATCAGATTTATATATTGATTTTGCATTTGTTGCGTTTTTGTTACTCCCTTATCAGCAAATTCCATTTGAGATAAGACGTACAACTCATCACAGTGTGTGTAGTGTATACTGGGCAGCTTTCGGATACTATACATTGTACATGCACAATTATGATTGAAAACTTTGATGAAAAGGTTCGGTTGGTCATTGGTGGTCTCATGGCGAATCCAAAAGCAGATGCACTTATGAAGTCTGTTCTCACGGCCTATGATCCATCTAAGGACCGATCCAATAACAGAACTGTTCTTGGTGGTTCCAGATTTCAAGTACCAACACTTGACGCCTGTGCAAGCTTCTTTAAGATTGCGACAATTGATGATAATAGTCGAATCTACAGTAATAAGCTAGCTCTTGCTATGCGCATTATTCTTGAAATTGAAACCCTTTTTCCTACCATCTGTGGGCAGTGTGATGAAGAATATTGCAATAAGTTTGAGTCTCCAACTTCTCCTGTATTGCGTTGTTTCTTGTGCTTTCAAGGCTCTCACAGTTGCGAACAAACCACTCAAGCTGCAGCTAATCTCCACAAGTCACCAACAGCGCTACCTCATGGTACTGTGTGGCTCTGCAAACTGTGCTTAACGCAAAATAATCCTGTGCCCAGCAAGCGTTCCAAATCAAATCGCCACCGATATCCTTCAACTGTTAGTGTAGCGGTTTCAACCCATCCTTCACAGACGGCAACTCTTAATGAAAATAAACAGCCGGATATCGACGCAGATGAACTATCTAAGAAACTGGATGCAGTTCACCAGCAGCAGCAACAACCAACGGCTATCAAACCGAGTGAGGATGATACAATCTGTGTTGACTACACAATGGGGAAATGCCCTCACGGAATAAGTGGACGGACTCTCCACCAGGGTAAAACTACATGCAGCAAGCTTCATCCTAAGCGCTGTAAAAAGTTTACACGTTTCGGCACTGATTCTAATGGGGGATGTAGTTTAGGTTCAGAGTGTCAGCTCTACCACCCAAAGCACTGCAAAAACTCGGTTCAACACAAGCAGTGTTTTAAAGAACAATGCACTCTAGTTCATCTGGTGGGAACTAAGCGTGTGAAACCCTCCAAAGATAAAGATACTCGGAAGAAGGACGGCAAACATCCAGGTGGTGAGAGCCGTCCAGATCGGGGATCTTACAGGCGCACTGAGAGTACTTCTGCTGCCAACGAGCCTTCGGAAAAAACGACCGGCAACTCTCAACATTCAACCTCTTTTTTAGAGATACAGAACCTACTCAAAGTGATGCAGGCAAACTTTCAGTCGGAAATAATTTCCCTGAAGAATCAAATAGCAGGTCAAGAGTCGAAATTCAGCAGCTTCTTCCCAACTGCGAACCAGACGCCTCATGCTCAAATGTTCCCGCATCCGTTTCCAACTGTAAGCCAGATGACTCACACTCCAACTTTTCCACATCTGCCTCCAGCCCTGCAGCATCTGAATCCAACACCAGTTCCTCAATGGGCTCGATTTCATCAGCACTCTTGCTGAATGTGCAATCCATTAAGGCCAGAGGGGGGGGGTAAAATTGGTTTTTCCGGTTTTCACATATTTGATCAGAGCTGCTGAAGACGAACAAGAAGAAAAAAACCGGACCGGAATCTGACCTTGCGTTTTTAAGATATCGCGCGCCAAATATTGAGGTTTACATGTAATTACATGTAAAACTTAAACTTAAACTGTAAAAAGTTAAAAGTCCCTTAGTTGAGAATACTGGCCACACCCAGAAGCTGAAACTTGGCACAGTTGTTCCTTGGGCTGTCACCCACAATTCTATTGTACAAAATTTTGATATTTGCCTCTGTTCTCGAAATATGAGGTTAACTTTACCCCAAATTCGACAATTTTTCGAAAAGTGTCGAATTTGGGGTAAAGTTAACCTCATATTTCGAGAACAGAGGCAAATATCAAAATTTTGTACAATAGAATTGTGGGTGACAGCCCAAGGAACAACTGTGCCAAGTTTCAGCTTCTGGGTGTGGCCAGTATTCTCAACTAAGGGACTTTTAACTTTTTACAGTTTAAGTTTAAGTTTTACATGTAATTACATGTAAACCTCAATATTTGGCGCGCGATATCTTAAAAACGCAAGGTCAGATTTCGGTCCGGTTTTTTTCTTCTTGTTTGTCTTCAGCAGCTCTGATCAAATATGTGAAAACCGGAAAAACCAATTTTACCCCCCCCCCCCCCCTCTGGCCTTAACCCTAGTGCTCGCAGCTCAACCAGATGGAAAATCCCATACATCCGGAATAAAGTAGAGCAGAAATCTAAACATATTTCTGTTCCATTTATTGCCCTTACTGAAACATGGTTGAAACCTTATATCCACGATTCACAGTTAGATATTGAACATTATAATATCTCTAGATGTGATCGAAGTACTAGGGTAGGTGGTGGGGTCCTCCTTTATTCTCACGAAAGCCTCCCCATCACCAGCTCTCAGACATTTGATGATAAGATCTGTCAAGCATTACTTTGTAAATGTGAAACAGCAAAAATGATCATATGTGTCCTTTATCGTCCTCCTGATGCCCCAATGGCCAGTTTCAAAGCATGTTTAGAGTATATGGCTGATTATATATCTGGACATGAATCATATGAGACATGCCTCTTAGGAGACTACAACTTCCCTATGATTGATTGGAAATCCGGTGCAATTCTGTCTGGTGCATCGTCTGCTACAAATCAGTCGGCAGTTCTTCTCTTTGACTTCATGGCAGACAACTTCCTCAGTCAGTATATTCTGGAACCTACTAGGCTGAACAACTGCCTTGATCTTTTTCTCTCCAATGCTCCTAATCTTGTGACACACGTTTCGGTGACTGATACACCTTTGTCTGACCACAAGCTTCTTGAGATCTTTCTGTCACATAATCCATGTCGGTCAGATCCTTCCGTACCCCCAGATTTCAGTGTTCCTTCGTTTCGGTCACTGGACTTCTACAAAGCAGATTATGACAAAATCAATCATCTCCTTGATTCTGTTAACTGGAGTGAACTATGGGAACTTTGTGATCCTGAAGAATTTCCTGAACTGTTGAACCTTGTCCTTCTTCAGATATGTGAGATGGGGTGCCCAAGGAAAAAGGCATCTAGCAAAAGGCGAGGTTCACCGGTTAATACATTGTCTCGCAAGAAACGCAAATTAAAACTTCGGTTGCATTTGGCTGAACAAAATCCAGTCGCTACAACAGCTCACTTGGAGTCACTTAGAAACCAGATTTCGAGTGTGTACGCTGACATGCGAGACGCTATAAACCACGACCTTAACTACCGTGAACAACAGGCGGTAGATAAAGTGCACAGCAATCCAAAATATTTCTACAGCTATGCTAAAAAGTTCTCTAAGCAGAAACGCAGTATTCCAATGCTTTTCAATGAAGCCAAGAGAACTTGCACCAATCCTGAAGAGATTGCTAACATCCTCCAGCGTCAATTCAGCAGTGTATTCAGTGACCCTTCAGCCACCAACATCAATGATGCATTATTTCAGTCACCTTCTCTACAGAAGCCATTCATTGATGACATGTTGGCATTCTCGGTTGCTGATATAATGGAGGCTATTGATGAAATTAAGCCGGGTGCCGCTGCTGGGCCTGATGATCTTCCAGTCCTGCTTCTGAAGAAGTGCAAAGAAGCACTCTCCAAACCTATACACATGATTTGGCAGCATTCTATGTCTACAGGCACAGTGCCGAAGTTCTACAAGACATCAAACATTGCTCCACTTCACAAGAAAGGCAGTCGTGCTATTGCGGGAAACTACAGACCTGTGTCGTTAACTTCTCATGTCATTAAGATCTATGAGCGAGTTCTACGAAAACAGATGGTGGCCCACCTCGAAGAAAACAACCTTCTCAATAGCAAACAGCATGGCTTCCGATCGGGGAAAAGTTGTCTCACTCAGCTGCTTCATCATTTTGATGACATCATCGAGGCGTTATCAAATGGTGACGACATGGACGCTATATACTTGGATTATGCCAAGGCCTTTGATAAAGTAGATCATCAACTTCTTATCAAAAAACTGCAGCTATATGGTTTTCATCCCAAAATCATCATCTGGATCGAGTCATTTCTTACAAATAGAACTCAACAAGTTGTTGTAGATGGTCACATGTCTATCATTGCTCTTATTATGAGTGGTGTCCCCCAAGGAACAGTTTTAGGTCCCATACTGTTTTTAATATTCATTAATGACATTGCTAGCTGCGTGTTGCATTCAACGTTAAGATGTTTCGCTGACGACACAAGAATTTGCAGATCCATCAGTGATTCACATAATGTTACTGAGCTTCAGTCTGATCTTGACAAAGTCACTGAGTGGTCATCAAGAAACAACATGGCACTACATGAGGATAAGTTTGAGTACATATGCCATCTTGCCAACAAACGTAATCCTCTCTATGAGCTTCCTTTTGTCCATGAACAGTTCCAATACAGAACATCAACTGGTACTATACTCAGTCCTGTGGATCAGCTCCGTGATCTCGGTATAACAGTATCCAGTGATACGTCCTGGACATCACACATACGATCTAGTTGTGATAAAGCGAGGAAGATGGCAGCATGGGTATTCAGTGTCTTCCACTCTCGCAATACTGGTGTTATGTTAACACTATACAAGTCACTAGTCCGTAGCCACTTAGAGTATTGCTCTCCTCTGTGGAATCCGGCGAAAGTGTATGAAATTCAGGAGCTTGAAAGTGTACAAAGAACTTTCACTTCAAAGATCCATGGTTTACAGCATCTCCATTATTGGGATCGCCTAAAAACCCTGTCCCTCATGTCACTTCAGAGGCGCAGAGAACGTTACATTGTCATGCACATGTGGAAAATCCTACATGGTTTCACATCCAACGACCTTGAAGTACAGTTCACAGTAAATCCACGATTGGGTACCCTTGCTAAGGTTCCAGCTGTCCGTACAAAAAGCTCAGCTGCTCACCAGACTCTATATGAAACATCATTTGGTGTAATGGGTCCCAGACTCTGGAACTGTATACCTTCGCACATACGTGCAGTCTCCAAACATGATGGCTTCAAGCATCATATGACGGCATTCATGCTTTCCTTGCCGGATAAACCGCCAATCCGGGGCTTCACATCACCGAACTCCAATTCTATACTGGACTGGCGTAACGATCGAGAGGCATCTTCTCTCTGGGGTGGTCAGCAACTCTGATGGCCTGTCGAGTTTCGACGAAGCAGATCAAAGGTATCAAAGGTAAGGTAGGATCTATAGGGCTGCTGTCCTCACCATCTTGTTGTATGGAGCTGAAGTCTGGAACACCACCAAAAAGCAGATGAAACGCTTCGAGGTTTTCCATCAAACCTCCTTGAGAAGGATCCTTAGGATTAAATGGTTCTTTCATGTGACCAACGACGAAGTTCTTAGGAGGGCTGGTATCAAATCTGTTGAGACTTTCATCAGTGCTGCCAGGCTACGTTGGTATGGACATGTAGTTAGAATGCCAGACTCTAGACTACCGAGGTTTCTGTTGAACTGGAAGCCAAATTATGGAAAGAGGTCAAGGGGCAGACCCCGTAAGAACTGGAAGTCCTGCGTACTCGAAGATGCTGCTAAGTTTACAGGTGTTGAAAACATCGACAACAACACGACAGAAACTTTGGCTACCAACCGAATACAGTGGAGACATATGTTACGCCGCCAACGCGATGTGTGTGATGCAGGCCACTCCAACGACTAGGAGGAGACCTTACCATGTAACATGTAACATGTATGTATTGGCACCTGGTTACATTTATGTTATCTAGCGGTATTGCCACCTGGTTACATTTATGTTATCTAGCGGTATTGGCACCTGGTTACATTTATGTTATCTAGCAGTATTGACACCTGATTACATTTATGTTATCTAGCAGTATTGCCACCTGGTTATATTTATGTTATCTAGCAGTATTGACACCTGATTACATTTATGTTATCTAGCAGTATTGCCACCTGGTTACATTTATGTTATCTAGCAGTATTGACACCTGATTACATTTATGTTATCTAGCAGTATTGCCACCTGGTGACATTTATGTTAATTAGCGGTATTGGCACCTGGTTACATTTATATTATTTAGCAGTATTGCCACCTGGTGACCTGGTTACATTTATGAGTTTATGTTAACTAGCAGTATTGACACCTGGTTACATTTATATTATCTAGCAGTATTACATTTATGTTATCTAGCAGTATTACATTTATGTTATCTAGCGGTATTGCCACCTGGTTACATTTATGTTATCTAGCAGTATTGACACCTGATTACATTTATGTTATCTAGCAGTATTGCCACCTGGTTACATTTATGTTATCTAGCAGTATTGCCACCTGATTACATTTATTTTATCTAGCAGTATTGCCGCCTGGTTACATTTATGTTATCTAGCAGTATTGACACCTGATTACATTTATGTTATCTAGCAGTATTGCCACCTGGTTACATCTATGTTATCTAGCAGTATTGCCACCTGATTACATTTATTTTATCTAGCAGTATTGCCGCCTGGTTACATTTATGTTATCTAGCAGTATTGACACCTGATTACATTTATGTTATCTAGCAGTATTGCCACCTGGTGACATTTATGTTATCTAGCAGTATTGACACCTGATTACATTTATGTTATCTAGCAGTATTGACACCTGATTACATTTATGTTATCTAGCAGTATTGACACCTGGTTACATTTATGTTATCTAGCAGTATTGCCACCTGGTTACATTTATGTTATCTAGCAGTATTGACACCTGATTACATTTATGTTATCTAGCAGTATTGCCACCTGGTGACATTTATGTTATCTAGCAGTATTGCCACCTGGTTACATTTATGTTATCTAGCAGTATTGCCACCTGGTTACATTTATGTTATCTAGCAGTATTGACACCTGATTACATTTATGTTATCTAGCAGTATTGCCACCTGGTGACATTTATGTTATCTAGCAGTATTGCCACCTGGTTACATTTATGTTATCTAGCAGTATTGACACCTGATTACATTTATGTTATCTAGCAGTATTGCCACCTGGTGACATTTATGTTATCTAGCAGTATTGCCACCTGGTTACATTTATGTTATCTAGCAGTATTGCCACCTGGTTACATTTATGTTATCTAGCAGTATTGACACCTGATTACATTTATGTTATCTAGCAGTATTGCCACCTGGTGACATTTATGTTATCTAGCAGTATTGCCACCTGGTTACATTTATGTTATCTAGCAGTATTGCCACCTGGTTACATTTATGTTATCTAGCAGTATTGACACCTGGTTACATTTATGTTATCTAGCAGTATTGCCACCTGGTTACATTTATGTTATCTAGCAGTATTGACACCTGATTACATTTATGTTATCTAGCAGTATTGCCACCTGGTGACATTTATGTTAATTAGCGGTATTGGCACCTGGTTACATTTATATTATCTAGCAGTATTGCCACCTGGTGACCTGGTTACATTTATGTTATCTAGCAGTATTGACACCTGATTACATTTATGTTATCTAGCAGTATTGCCACCTGGTTACATTTATGTTAATTAGCAGTATTGACACCTGGTTACATTTATGTTATCTAGCAGTATTGACACCTGATTACATTTATGTTATCTAGCAGTATTGACACCTGATTACATTTATGTTATCTAGCAGTATTGCCACCTGCACTGGTTACATTTATGTTATCTAGCAGTATTGACACCTGGTTACATTTATGAGTTTATGTTAACTAGCAGTATTGCCACCTGGTTACATTTATGTTATCTAGCAGTATTGCCACCTGGTTACATTTATGTTATCTAGCAGTATTGTCACCTGATTAGGAAAACAAAAAATTAAGAGTGGTAATTCATAATTTTTGAACACACTAAAATGTAATTGTTATAAAAAGATAACCTTCTCGACGATAACAGGCTCGAATGTCAGGAGGAGCTGTACTAAGTGAGGCAAACAGTTCTCAGATAGGATCCTCTTCGCTCGAGGGATGGGTCGGATAATACCTGGGGAGTTATTTAAATTATGCAATTGGTGACAATGTTTAAAATTATTACAATGACTACAATGATAATCACAATGGTTACTATGAATTATGATGGTTACTATGGTTACTATGAAGGTTACTATGATGGTTACTATGGTTACTATGATGGTTACACTTCAACTCACCTCCGTCCTCCTCCCGGCTAGGATAGAAGCTACAGATGTCAATGAGCATGTTCAGAATGAGGGTGGACAGCTCGGTTCCGTTCAGCAGGGCTACTCCAGTGCTACAAGGTAGCGTCCACTTTAACTGTGCTACTGACCTGAGGGAGGCACCAGGTTTAGTTAACTTTATATGGTTACTATGGTTACTATGTGGTTACTATGTGGTTACTATGGTTACTATGTGCTACAAGGTTACAAGGTAGCGTCCACTTTAACTGTGCTACTGACCTGAGGGAGGCACCAGGTTTAGTTAACTTTATGTGGTTACTATGGTTACTATGTGGTTCCTATGGTTACTATGTGCTACAAGGTAGCGTCCACTTTAACTGTGCTACTGACCTGAGGGAGGCACCAGGTTTAGTTAACTTTATATGGTTACTATGGTTACTATGTGGTTACTATGTGGTTACTATGGTTACTATGTGCTACAAGGTTACAAGGTAGCGTCCACTTTAACTGTGCTACTGACCTGAGGGAGGCACCAGGTTTAGTTAACTTTATGTGGTTACTATGGTTACTATGTGGTTCCTATGGTTACTATGTGCTACAAGGTAGCGTCCACTTTAACTGTGCTACTGACCTGATGGAGGCACCAGGTTTAGTTAACTTACTTGTAGCATTAGTGAGCTTACTTAGCACTTTTAGCATTGGTGAGCTTACTAAGCACAGTTAAGTAACTGCAGCTCGCTTATAATCACTTAGTAAATAGTTCCCATATTGTTCTGTCAACTTTTCAAAATTTGTATTTATTTCAAAACTGGACACAATTTGCAGATGAAAAACCTGAGAGGTCTCCACCCGTCCAGACCTCGCAGCATCACAATTGTTACTATGGTTACTATGATGGTTACTATGATGGTTACTATGGTTACTATGGTTACTATGGTGGCGGATGACAAACCTGAGAGGTCTCCACCCGTCCAGACCTCGCAGCATCACAATTGTTATTATGGTTACTATGATGGTTACTATGATGGTTATTATGATGGTTACTATGATGGTTACTATGGTTACTATGATGGGTACTATGACGGTTATTATGATGGTTACTATGATGGTTACTATGATGGTTACTATGGTTACTATGGTGGCGGATAACAAACCTGAGAGGTCTCCACCCGTCCAGACCTCGCAGCATCACAATTGTTACTATGGTTACTATGATGGTTACTATGATGGTTACTATGGTTACTATGGTTACTATGGTGGCGGATGACAAACCTGAGAGGTCTCCACCCGTCCAGACCTTGTGCCCAACACTTGGTTCGTTCAGAGAGCACTCCTTCCTCCCAAAACTCGGCTATCTGCAGCGGAAATTGTTTTAGAGATTTATAAATAGTTGGAAGGGTTTATGTATGGGTGGGGGTTACGAACAGTTGAAACAGTACCTCTCGTACTGTGGTTACTATGTGGTTACTATGGTTACTATTTTGTTAATATGTGGTTACTATGGTTACTATGTGGTTACTATGAACAGTTGAAACAGTACCTCTCGTACTGTGGTTACTAGGTGGTTACTATGGTTACTATGTGGTTACTATGAACAGTTGAAACAGTGGAGAGGTGGAGTTAGTTGTTGAATCGTGGAGTAGAGTAGAGTGTAGAGTGTGAGTCACCTTTAAATCCGGTAGAGCATCGCTCCTGATGCCTAGATTTGCCTTTAGTCGACTTTTAATATTCTTGTGCCAATAAGGTTTAATCTAGATGTTTTTTTTTTACTTCACATATGTATTTTATGTCAACTTGAGGTGACTTCATTTTATTATTTTGAGTAGAGATTACATGACGTAGCAATTTTTATCCAGTAGAGATTCACTCCTGATGCCTTTTTGGGTAGGACGTGATGAGAGTGTTATTCCTTTGCCGTGTCTTACCCGGGAGATGTTAAGTTTACTACGCTGTGGCATTTCGCGTACTACTACGTCATGTAATTTTTTTTGTTGATTACAGCTTTATCTGTAACTCTTCTTTAATACTTTTACGATTCAGAATGTCATACAGATGTTACATCTGCAAGAGAACAAAGGATGAGGAAGGGCAGCTGCTGGAGGAGGAGCTCTGCAGAAGGTGCCAGATTGAGGAAAAGGCCCAGAAGAAAAGATTGAGATTTGAGGCAAAGATAGAGAAGGTGAAAGAGAAGAACAAGGGGAGGGTGAAATCTAGAGAAGAAGTGGAGGGAGAAAAAGAATGGAGGAAGGATGAAGACCCGAGAGAATGGACCTGGAGCGGGGAGTTTGATGAGGCTATGGTTAACGAGAGTGAGGAGATGAGAATTAGACAGGGAGTTAAGAGAAATCTAGGAGGGGGGGAAAGTTCCGGAACCTTGCAATATTCAGAGATGGTGAGGAGTGGTAATGGAGTAGAGACCAAGGAGGAAAAGCTAAGGAAGCAAAAGAAAGAAGTGGAAGAGCTGGAGAAGCTACAGAAGAATTCTAGAGAGGAGCTGGAGAAGCTGGAAAAGACAGAGGAAAGACGGAAGAGATTAGAGGAGCTGGAAAGAGAGAAGAAAGAGCAGGAGGATCTGAAGAAGAGGGAGTTGGAGATAAAGCGGCTGAAGCTGGAACAGCTAATTAAGGAAAATGAGAAAGATGTAAGAGAAATTCTGAAGATAACGAAGAGAGCTTATGAAGCGGAACCGATGGTGGTAGAGGCCCCTGAGGAGACGGAGATGTTGGTGGAGATCCAAGAAGAGGTGAGTCTGAGTCCTGTGAGAGAAAAAACTAAAGAAGAAGAGAAACAGGAACCAGTGGCAGGGGAACAACAGAGAGGAGAGAAGAGAAGAGTAATAGTGAGGGAGACCAGAGAGCAGCAGTCACCACAGCGGAGAAGGACCCACCAGTACCATCAGGAACGGCCTCCTCCCCCTCCACCTACCCACTATTACAGCAGCAGACAGGTGGAGAAGTTTTGTCTCGACAAATACGATGACAAGCTGTCTAAGACGGAGAAGGCTGCTAACGAAAGCATCAGGAGAGACGTGTTCGAGGACAAAGAGGTGGTGCAACACGGGAGAGACCTGATGACTGTTTCGAAGGGATGGATGGAGAAGAAGATGAGGGAAGCGAGAACGCGGGAGGACGTTATTGCTATAATGAAATCCATCGAGATTCAGATAGGAGGTCAGAGAGCGTACCTAGTGGAGAAGATAAAAGAAGAGTGTGAAAGATTGGTGAGTGAGGGCGAGATGCCACCAGGAAGAGGCCATGGTCATTACAAGTCGGACATGAGAGGCAATAAGAAGTTCCTGGGATGGTACGTCCAAGAGATCAGAGTGCTGAGAGAAACAGCGGAGGAGGCAGAGAGGATCCCGCCAGAGATAATGGTAGCAGGAATGCTGGGGCTGACGAGGTTGTGTACCCTCCACAATCGGTTTGCAGTCTTTAAGTAGGACATTCGTACCTAGGAGTAATGAATGGAGTAGTGTAGGTTATGTTCGTAACTAGGTGTACGGACTTTATTATGTAGGTTATGTTCGTAACTAGGTGTACGGAAATAATTAGGTAAATTATGTTCGTAACTAGGTGTACGGAAATAATTAGGTAAATTATGTTCGTAACTAGGTGTACGAAAATAATTATGTAAGTATGTTCGTAACTAGGTGTACGAAAATAATTATGTAAGTATGTTCGTAACTAGGAGTACGGAAAATAATTATGTAAGTATGTTCGTAACTAGGAGTACGGAAAATAACTATGTAAGTATGTTCGTAACTAGGAGTACGGAAAAAATTGCGTAAGTATGTTCGTAACTAGGTGTACGAAAATAATTATGTAAGTATGTTCGTAACTAGGTGTACGGAAAAAATTGTGTAAGTATGTTCGTAACTAGGTGTACGGAAATAATTATATAAGTTATGTTCGTAACTAGGTGTACGAAAACATTGTATTAATTGGGTTCGTGACTAGATGCACGGTACCTTGTTTATGAGTATGGTTGTGGAGGGTGTGCAACAACGGGTATGGGGACGGAGAGACGGGGGATGGTGGACTTCAACTTCAAAAGAACAGCAGGGCAGAAGGAGTAAGAAGAGTAGGAGAAGGACAATTAGTAGGGTAGCAAGTTGTATTTATAAATTTGTTTTAAATATTTGAATTTTATTACGTGAAGGTTGTCACGAAGTTTTATAAATTTGTTTGTTTGTAAGACGTGAGTTGTTTCACGTAAAGTTTTTAATATTCAGAATTGGTACGTGTTGTAACACGTATTTTTATATAGATTTTTAAATTTGTAACACGTGAAATTTTTTATGGGTAGTTGTATCACGGGATTGATGTTGATATTTTTTACGTAATTTATTTATTTTAATTTATTTAAGTATTGTTATACTTGTAGTTGGACACGTTAGGGTACGTGTAATTTGATTATTTATTGTGGATATTATTTAGGGTGTTGTTTTAGAGGGAGTTTTAGGATTTATTTAGGATTTAGGAGGTAGGGGGGGATTTGGTCGATTTTGTCAATACCTCCTAGAGATATTGACGAAATCGATTAAATTTTCCCGGGGGATATAGTGTAATGTGTGGGCTGGTTGCAGCGATTCTTAAGCAGTTTTAGTAGTCATGTTTTAGTTAGGATATTGCAGTTAAGTGTAGAAAAACCGTTAGGATTAGTGTAGATTTAGAGTAGTTAGGTTTAGAGATTTGTGTAAAGTAGGGCACGTGATAGTCGGGCGTGTAGGTTTTGTTATAGTTTTATGGCTGGGCCGAGCCGCGCGGTACCACGTGGGTGACCACGTGGTATCACGTGGCGCGGGTCGTTAACGCAGTTCTGGACACGTTGGAGTCAGTTCTGGAAAAGCTCTTTAGGTGACGTGTTTAATCAAAGTGTTAACCGCTGATCTAGAACGCCAAACGTGGCCCGTCTTGCCACAGTTTAAGTTGTGATTGTTGATAATATCTTTATATTCATCATTCGAACGTTATTACTCGATTCAACTGTTTCCTTTGTTCAACTCTAGCTTAGGACCGAATTGTAGCATTTGAACCGTTTGATTCACAGTACCGCACTTAGTTGCATGTATGTAGTAGTCATATCAGAGTAATTGGCAATACAAGTTATCGTGATTGTCGTATTAACGTAGAGTTCAATACTTAGTTATTGTGAGTTATTGCAGTTGTCAGTCGCTAAGAACGACTGAGTGAGTAGTGTATATTGTGAGTACACCTTTGTGAGCAGACACTGTAGACCATCGGTACGCCCTGGGAGGACTGGTCTGGTGCCATCTTATTTTACACTACTCTCGTACTGTGGTTACTATGTGGTTACTATGGTTACCTTTGGTTAATATGTGGTTACTATGGTTACTATGTGGTTACTATGAACAGTTGAAACAGTACCTCTCGTACTGTGGTTACTAGGTGGTTACTATGGTTACTATGTGGTTACTATGAACAGTTGAAACAGTACCTCTCGTGCTGTGGTTACTATGGTTACTATGTGGTTACTATGTGGTTACTATGTGGTTATTATTTTTTTACTATGTGGTTACTATGGTTACTATGTGGTTACTATTGTTACTATGTGATAATTATGTGGTCACTATGGTTACTATGTGGTTACTATGTGGTTACTATGGTTACTATGTGGTTACTATGGTTATTATGTGGTTACTATGAACAGTTGAAACAGTACCTCTCGCAGACTGTACGGACCGAATCTCTCTTTCTCCTTGTTGCCATAGTACCATTCTCTTTCCTCGTGCATAGCCCCGCCGGCTTCTATAAACATACTCTGAAAATAAACTGGTTAATATTTTTGTTAAATATATTGACAGGGAGAAACCGTGTTAAATATATTTCATGTCTTACAACGTGTTCTATACAGAAACAAGGAAATATCTTTAATCCAGAATTTGGAAAAGTTTATGTTTCGTTTTGTAGTGCTTTCCCTGGGAAACTTCCTCCGGCCGGAATCGAACTTCCAGCACCTAAATTGTGTCTATAATGCCATCCATAGATGACTAATCGGTCACTGGAAAAAAAAATTCAGTGAAAACTGTAAAATTTCGGTTCTGGAAATTTCGTCTCGAAAATCTGAAAATGGGACATAACAGCAATAACAGCAATTGGGTCGATAAGATTTTTTCCATTTTGCAGTTTCTTCTCCGATATTTTGAAGTCCAGAACCACAATTTGGTCTCATGTACGGGTTAGGACTGGAGAACATAGGGTCAAATATTATAAACTTTTAAATGGTGATAAGATAGATGAAACAAGTGATGAATATAGTTTGGGTTTACATTTGTTGGATCATGGTTTTAGACAAAGGGAAGATTTTAACAACATTTTTAATGTGTCAATTATTGATAATTCTAGTCCTAAAACTTTGGATGTCCGTGAACATAAATATATTCAACTACTCAAGACTTTAAAACCTTTGGGAATTAACACTACAAATCCTTTTGGCCTTCCATTACTCCTAACATCTTAATTTTAACTTTATAACCGTTTTAAGAGTGTTCAGATTTTTAAAGGAATTTTGGGTTTTACTAACTTTTTACAATTTCTAGGGCTTATGTCACTGAAGATGACGCCTTGCAACATGTTTGACGATAGCCTGTAGATTGATAGTTTGATCTCAGTATTTACAACAATTCATCTAGTTTTATTGATTCAAAGGGAAACAAATTCCTCTGTTGGTCTCATGTCACCCATAGTCAACTGAAAATGGGACAGCAATTGGGAGGGGAGGTCATAAACGACCTCCTATATAGATTTTGCTTTAAACAAACTGTTAAATAGGCCCGCTTAAAATGATTTGGTTGAATTGTAATTTCTGTTTGTTGGACACTGTTTGCGTAACAATACGGTCATCCGTCATTCAAACGATTACTGGCAATACCTTATAGAATATGTTTCGAACAATCATAATTTCTATTCAAAATTTAGCACCTCATAAATTATGTATAGTTCATACTTCATAATTAATCATCAACCACACTCAGAAACCACAGCCAGTTGAAGGTATATTGTGGCGCGGACAAATTGTTCTACTCATGTGTAAATTTGAAGAAAATTAAACCGTTAAATTGTTCAAATAAATTTGAAGGAAAAAATCATCAGCCAAATATTCATTCTGAGGCCTATTCAGGAGCTGATTTTGGTGTTTGGTTTCGTGCTTAGAAATGAATAGACCAATTACAAACTGTTTAGATGTTCACGTGACATATTTGGTGCTCACAATATCTATAGTCGCTATATTTACCCAGGTTGAGATCAGGGGTAGTACGTACCAGGACGGGTATTTCTTTACAGTTTAGAGTTGACGAACTTAACTGAGGTGCGCTCAGTCGGTTTTAAACCATCAATCCTCTCAGTTCCACACTATATTTATAAACGAACTTTTGTGAATATTTTACTTTCAACATAATAGTGAACTTTCACTGACTTAAGTTTCTGTGGTAATCAGAATGACCAAAGAAACATGATCACCTACATAACCAAAACAAACTCGAGCCAACAATTTCAAGATATTTCCTCTGAAATTCTCAGCCTACTAGGACCAATTAAACACTCCTACGGGTGTATGCCCCACAGATGCAAGGTGCCCCACAGATGAACGGGTTTTATAAAAGTATGTCCTGTGATTCCAAATTTTGAAAATGTTGTTAGATCTTTTCAATTTATTTGAAAAAATATAAGTCCTACACTTCCTGTTATTTGAAATAGTGGCATTTAATTTGATATGGATTTAGATCGCTGTTTTATTTCAAAAGTCAACATTATAAAATCCTAGTCAGCACTATAAAGTAAAAATATTTTGATGAAATTTTGTAAATCGCATGCATGCATAAAGTTATTAATGTAACAGCCAGTTTCACTGGATTATTTAATCAAAAACTTTCATTTTGAAGAATAAAATGTGAAAAAACTCACACGCCCCACAGGAGTCAGGTCATATGCCCCACAGATGAAAGGTTTCTCATTTTTCACTAATTGGGAGTTAATGTTTGTCTGTGAGATTTGTTTTAATAGTCTAAACATATATAAAGTACAAGTGAGATACTATGAGAGTATGAGCAACATTTGACCAATATTATGGGAAATAAATATTATAATTAGTGAAAAATGAGAAACCTTTCATCTGTGGGGCATATGACCTGACTCCTGTGGGGCGTGTGAGTTTTTTCACATTTTATTCTTCAAAATGAAAGTTTTTGATTAAATAATCCAGTGAAACTGGCTGTTACATTAATAACTTTATGCATGCATGCGATTCACAAAATCTCATTAAAATATTTTTGTTTTATATTGCTGACTAGGATTTCATAATGTTGACTTTTGAACTAAAACAGCGATCTAAATCCATATCAAATTAAATGCCACTATTTCAAATAACAGGAAGTGTAGGACTTATATTTTTTCAAATAAATTGAAAAGATCTAACAATATTTTCAAAATTTGGAATCACAGGACATATTTTTATAAAAACCTTGCATCTAAAAAACAAACTTTACAATTAAAATAAAAACGTAAAGTTTATATTGCTTTCTTCTTGTTACATTTGTAGCAGACACTTCCAGTCTCCTCGTTTACACAGAAAGGACTCTCCTTTTTCTTTGCCTGCATTACACCTTTTACAACACAGGTACGTCAGGCGTGGCATTATTGTGCCACAGCCACATTTCCAAGCTCTATCTTGCGAATTCATAACTTAATGACGTATAATTACTATTAAAGGTTTTTAAATTAGAAGTATATCAATAAGGTTTATCATTTATAAGTTGGTCTACATGATGCCTGAAAGAATTCATGTTAATATACAAAGCTATAAAATGCCCCACAGATGCAAGGTATAAAATATTTTGATTTACTACTTATTAAATTATTCAAATGACATATTAAGTTCTAGTATAATCATGAAAAAACACTGATTATTAGTAGTGGACACTTTGAAACGATTGAAATGTAACATTTCAGGAAAATATTCCTACTTTTCTACTCCCAACCTGTCATCTGTGGGGCATGGTTGAGAAAAAAACGATTTTTTATGGTTGTATAAATCTATAAAATCTATATAAGCTGGCTATTATTATGTAATATATATCTGACAATAATACTCCAGATAAAAATACAGTATAGTTAGTACCGTTTCAGTTTTTTAAGAGAATCTTTAAACCATGCACCTGTGGGGCATAGTCAAAACAAGGATGATTTTTGGGAAACTTTTTCGAGCACAAATTTTTGAAATTTTAAAATTTTAATTGCCGGGAAGAAAATTTTAGACTATTTTTGATAAATTTGCAACAATATTGTGTAAAATGAGTTCTATTTCTAATTTTGAGAGAAGTTTGAAAAACCACCATTCATCTGTGGGACATACACCCGTATTAGTTCAAGTGACAAATTTGGTGCTTAGAATACTCATGGCATTCAACATGGTACAGTAACATATGGTTAAATCAGGGCTAGCACACCAGAACGCGTATTTATTTTGAGATAACAAATTTAGCTGAAGTGTGTACAGTCAGTCTAAGATCAGTAATAATTTCAGTTCCACGTAGTCATAAACGAAAGGTCATAAACTACCTCTTATATAGATTTTACTTTAAACAAAACTTTAACTATTAAATAGGACCGCTAAAAATGATATCGCTTGTAATTTCTGTTAGTTGGACACCGTTTGCATAACAATCCTGTCATCCGTCATTCAAACGATTACAGGCAATACTTTATACAATATGTTTCGAACAATCATAATTTCTATTCAAAATTTAGCACCTCATAAATTATGTATAGTTCATACTTCATAATTAATCATCAACCACACTCAGAAACCACGGCTAGTTGAAGGTACATTTTGGCGCGGAGAATTGGTTCTACTCATGTGTAAATTTGAAGAAAATTACACCGTTATATTGTTCAAATTAATTTGAAGGAAAAAATCATTTATTCTGAGGCCTACTCAGGAGCTGATTTTGGTGTTTGGTTTCGTGCTTAGAAATAAATAGACCAATTACAAACTGTTTAGATGTTCACGTGACATATTTGACGCTCACAATACCTATAGTCGCTATATTTACCCAGGGTGAGATCAGGGCCGGGGTAGTACGTACCAGGACGGGTATTTCTTTACACTTTAGAGTTGACGAACTTAACTGATTTGTGCTCAGTCGGTTTTAAACCATCAATCCTCTCAGTTCCACACTATATTTATAAACGAACTTCTGTGATTATTTTACTTTCAACATAATAGTGAACTTTTACTGTGAATAGGCCTTATGATGTACCATTTCGCTTTTAATTACTTTTTGCTTGTTTATTTGGGCCATTTTTAATCGTTTAAAACGATTATTAGCACTAATTAATAAAAATATCAGCCCCTCATTCAAATTATTCGACGTTAATTATTCATAATGACCAGACTGTTGACTGTTGAGTGATAGATTATCAGCTGTTTTGTACCTAACAGTATTTTATTCTCCTTTTTTTATCTTTCATATACCCATTTTGACTTTGGAAATTATTAAATTACTTTAAATAAAATGTTCATGTTGTACTTAATTAATTCAAGGATTCAATTAGCCAAATTCTAAAGATCTCGAATCAAGAAATCAAGTAGAACGAGAATGGGGATCAAACTTTCGATCGCATTACTGATCGTCTTAGTTCAGGGCATTTTCTGTCAAGGTAAGAAATTTGAAATTTTTTAAGGACACGTTCATTGAAGTTTGATGATATTGGTAAATTTTTTTCCCTGCTCTTGCCGAAGGCAAAAAGATCGTAGGGAATAAGTAATCGGGTTTGGATATATGAGGTGGCCCGACGGTCCTGCGATGTCGACAAAAGTCTGCTCCTTCGCAATATAGACCCCTCCCCTACAATTATGAGTATAGGAAGCGTCTGTTATGCTGCGCGCGACGCTCGGCATGTGTTAGTTAATTGCAGTATCCAACGCGAATTTCAATTGTCAAATGACGCGCCGTTCAAATTAAATTAGCCCATAATTTGTGCGCGGCGTACTAAATATTCGATTACATGAATCCTGCACGCGCGAAATGACAAATCACGATGAAAATATTGCAACTTTTTAACAACAAAATAATCCAATATCTAATTTTTATTAATCGATAAAATTAACTTTTTGTTGCAACTATTAACGGTTTAAGCAGGGAAAATTAATCGTGCGTGGTGTAACTGCGGCGAAATTCTTGTTAAAATAGCGTTTTTATCGACCGGTTATAAGCCAATATTTCGTCAAATTTGTCACACTATAAATATGATACCTTATCGGACCTTATTTGGATGGACATTAAATGAACAGACATAATTATAAACGGACATTAATATGAACGCTAGAAGGCATTCAAAACCATCAAAAATCCGAATTTTCTCATTTTTTTGACGTTTTTTTATTTCTGCAAATGATTTTTAAAACCATTTTTTATACAGTAAGCAAGAAAAGCAGTCTTCAATCAGTAAACATGGTAAAATATGTGTACATGATTATGGTCTAATATCAAATATCATATTCATGGGTACTTTTTTGTGAAACTTGATTTCGAGATAGTAGTTGACCAACAAACTAGGACGAGTGACCGAACTTTTGAGGGGGTCCCGGACCCGAACCGCCAAACGGTGCCCGCGGGGCAGCCACGCCCATATTTGGTCCAAATTAGGCCCAATTTAGCCAAATACCCTGAACATGCCCAAAACCCAGGTTTAAGGTGCTCTACTTGTAGCTAGTGGTCTCCTGAACTCGTATATGAAATTTCATCAAGATTGGACAAAAAATGACTGAGTTATGAGCAAAAAACCATATACCCATATTTGGGCATACGCATCAAATTTGGTAGATTTCGTCCCATAAATTGGTCAAATATCAATATTTTTGAATGAGACTTACTTAATATGAAAGGTAAGCCTAAACTACATATTCTCTGTAAGTTATTGCTTTACATCTGTTTAAATGTGGACACTAAGGCGAAAATACCCCAAAAAATGAACAAAATTGCCGGTATCTAAAAATTTGGCGGCCAAATTCGAAATTTGCCTGGCAAAATTCAGAATTTGGCCGCCAAATTTTTTGGAGGCCTAAATCAAAAATCGGCTTCCTAGAATAAGGTGGAAATGCGATTTAGAGTCGATTCCGAAAATTTCATGCAAAAATTTTGAAAACTGATTGAGTTATTTTCAAATTAATGAAATCAATTCCGCGAATATCGCGAACGAAGATACGGGCAATTTTGTTCATTTTTTGGGGTATTTTCGCCTTAGTGTCCACATTTAAACAGATGTAAAGCAATAACTTACAGAGAATATGTAGTTTAGGCTTACCTTTCATATAAAGTAAGTCTCATTCAAAAATATTGATATTTGACCAATTTATGGGACGAAATCTACCAAATTTGATGCATATGCCCAAATATGGGCATATGGGGGGGGGTGTAACCCAAAAAAACCCAAAAAAACCCAATCCCAGTATGACCTTTTTCAAGGTAGGAGTTGGGTTTTTTTGGGTTTTTTACAAATTTTTCATTTGAAGGAAATAAAATCATGTAGGCACCTAGCAAAACAATTATCAGTACAACATCACTGTTGTGGTTCATCACTACAACATCACAATAGATATAATCGCTTAAATATCACCCAAAAGCAGTATTTTATTCACTGATGTGCTCAGAAGAAGTTGGCCATCCAGATATGATATCAGCCATATGTAATGCTCACTTCGATGGCCATGGCAAATTGAGTTAGTAGGGACGCAACTCACTGATGACCCCAACCCTGACCGCAACCGGTACGAGAGGAATAAAACCTTTCTTCTCACCTTCACGATCTCTGTTTCCGTTTTCCTGATCATCCGCTTAACGAGAAACCATGCTCTATCTCCAACTGAAAGAATCTTGCAGTTACCATCAGCTGCATGATCACATGTGATATTAAGTGATATCTTCGCTTGTTTATGGCCCTGGAGTCGCTAAAATCTTGACTGGGATGGCATTCGATCTCGCCCTCCATTGAGGCAAACCTCAACAGCCGTATCATGATGCAGAGCATCACCATACACAGTTACTATTTTCGCCCATTCCTCTGATGAGTCAGTATCCTCCACTTCCTCTTCTTCATCATCTGTTTCCGCTTCGTCACTCTCTGCTCCGTCAGAAGATGGTTGGAAAGCCTCTCCTTCAAAGCTATAGTGTTCTTGAAGGAGTTCTCTACCCCTTGAGACTCCCTTCTTCATAGCTTGTAAGGGTTAAAGCCCCTTATTTTTCTAGTGAAAGTGGTTGCCGGGTTAATTATTAATTACACTGCTATTACAGAAACTGATGACTCGGTCTCTACAACACGACAACCTATTTCTACAGAAAGTCAAACAAGAAAACATCAAAAAAACATGAACATCAATTGCATTGTATCATGTAAAAGGGCTGCTCAGGTTGGCACGTTTAACAATAGAACAGCCAGAGAACAGCACAAACGCATCGAACTTGAAGAACTATTTTCTCGAAGCAAGCTGCACAATGCGCACATCCTTGCCCTGTAAGAATCGAACATCGGGTAGTGCATGCTGATTGCTGAGAATACCAGAATAGAAAAGATGAACAAAGGGATTCATCCAGTGATCTCATCTGCGTGGAGAAACGCAGCTGGCGCTTCTCCACGCAGAGAAGATGATTCCTACTGGGAGAGTAGGAATCATCTTGACGAGGACAGCATATGAGGCTATAAATCTTAGTTATAAAATCTTACAGCGCAAGGATCCTCACCATGTCTCTTAATGGAAAGCCCAGGCTCACTGTCATCACATGCTACAGTCCTACAGAAGCCTCATCTGATGAGGACAATAATTTCTAAGGACGGACATGCCTTAGAAGAAGTTGAGGATTTTAGTACAACGGAGCACGACTTTAGGTTACGCAAGGCCAAGGCATGGGCTGCCTACCACAAAATGTAGGCTATATGGAGGTCCAATTTGCGCCGAGATTTAAAGATCCGTCTGTTCAAGCTACGGTTGAATCAATCTTCCTGTATGGAACGAAAACGTGGACAATAACAGAATCTTTGAAGAAAAGAATAGACGGATGTTACAGTAGAATGCTTCGGATGGCCCTAAACGTGGACTGGAGAGGACATCGCACCAACAAGGAGGTCTCGGATCACTCCCAAGAGTTATTTCGAAGATACAGGTCAGAAGAATGAGGTTGGCTGGGCACATCCAGCGACATGATGACCTGGCAGCACACCAACTTCTCCTTTGGGAACCTAGGGAGGGGTAGACCACCGCTCACCTTCGTCGATAAACTAATAAGTGACACTGGACTCAAGAACACTGGGGAGAGTAAGGAGCTTATGGCGGACAGAAAGCTTTGGAGACACATCATCGAGACTCGGACTCTGAAGCCGCCTTAAGTCAAGTAATTTAAGTCATGTGCTTTGACTTGCCCTTGACCTTCGTCATAGCCTCCTTTCATGACAGGAGAACACATTTGCCACATTTGGCACATTTCCACTTTGTGCATTCATATGGATTATATCTCGATGAACGAGACATCCTGTTTGCTATCGTGATAACATACTATCAATATAAACACACTTATAATATACTATGTAAACTATCTATTAAGTTAAGACATGAGAACAACACGTAGGTAAGACTCAGTGGGAAATAATTCACATTCAATGCAATTAATGAAATGGCTAGAATTTTGTTTAAATTTTGTTTAAAAACCCAAAAAAACCCAATCCCAGTATTACCTTTTCTTGGGTAGGAGTTGGGTTTTTTTGGGTTACACCCCCCCCCCCCCCCCCGGCATATGGTTTTTTGCTCATAACTCAGTCATTTTTTGTCCAATCTTGATGAAATTTCATATAAACGAGTTCAGGAGACCACTAGCTACAAGTAGAGCACCTTAAACCTGGGTTTTGGGCATGTTCAGGGTATTTGGCTAAATTGGGCCTAATTTGGACCAAATATGGGCGTGGCTGCCCCGCGGGCACCGTTTGGCGGTTCGGGTCCGGGACTCCCTCAAAAGTTCGGTCACTCGTCCTAGTTTGTTGGTCAACTACTATCTCGAAATCAAGTTTCACAAAAAAATACCCATTGCCCCCCCCCCCCCCCCCCCTCAATGATCAGTGAGTTTTGCCTAAGTACCATATTTGAACAAAAGTAGGTGTAGAAGACACGTAATTTGACGAAATTTGTCAATGGCGCACCACCTACTATAACTGATAACAACGTCGGACAATGTCCTTGGCAACACGATTTACCGTAATATCTAGAGGCTGGAACAAGTTTGTCATCTTGGCGGGGACTAGCTCATTACATGAACTATGTTGTTGAGTGCCATAATTTCGTTGACTTTTTCCGCCAAGTGACCCTTGAAAACATCATGTAATACTATTAGAACTTTCTGTGCCTCCGGCAGACCAAGGAGAACCTTTCCGTCGTTAACTTACGGCACAATAAAGTTCTCATAGTTGTCATATTCTGGACAAAAAGTTCTAAGTGGAAAAATTGTTGAAGAACATTCAACGGACTTTAAGTTGGACGGACCTTAAATGGACGGACTTTATTTGCACGGACATTAAGATGAACGTTAGGGCCTCCAGCGTTCAATTAATGTCCGTCCAAATAAGGTCCAATAAGGTACTTCTTTTCTACTGTGAGTTGTTCTCAAAACCCTTTGAACTCATTATTTGATGGTTCTTCTACCGATCATAGCCCTAAAATATGTTGTTTTTTAAAGTTAGCTAATACAAGCACTTGGTTATTGGGAAATGAGGTAAATTCGGTCACATTATATTAGCTAGCCGTCTATGTTACTGAAGGAAGTTGGGACAAACTCTAAAGAGGAACTGCGGGGGATATATGGAGGGGGTTATCTGGCGTAGATCGGACTTAGCTCCGACATAGTAGTAGTAGTAGTATATTATGGAATTTGAAATTTTCGGTGAAATCATTGCCAAAATCACTTATATCTGATTTTTTATTGAAAAGCGGGAAAACACTAATAGAAGGACGATACAGTTGATTCAAGTTAAGAGGGGGGGTTCACCCTGATTTTTCTGTTATCTCGAAACAAAGTTTCACAAAATTATATGAAATCGTTAAGGCCAGAGTAAATATTATTTTCTGAATCAATTTAATTTTTGATGTCAAAAACATTGCTGCTATTTACATATTTGTAGCTGCTTAACTTTTTTTTATAATTGAGGTTAACCGATCACAAAATTGACTATACAACATTGAGGTTAATAAAATTAAGGTTAATATTTTATTACACTCCATAATTTGTTGTTATTTCGGTCAGCAAATGTAAACAAATTTTAGGTTCATAATTATCAGAAAAAGAAATATCCAAACGTAATTAAATGAGGGTAACCTCTTAATTTAGGTATATATCGAAAATATATTAGATGATAGAGTTGTTATTTTTATCGTGAGATTACGACAAACAAATTTCTAAACAGATGTAGTGCTGATTTACTTCATTTTATCTCGAGAAAGTGTTGAAAATGAGGTTAACCAACACATTTGATACTTTAAGAATTATTTACACAAGATTCTTAATTTTTTTATGTACCACAATATCACAGTGAGGTATCTATTTGTATTCCAACTGTATAAAACTGTCGAATTTCGGGTAAAGTTAACCTCATATTTCGAGAACAGAGGCAAATATCAAAATTCTGTACAATAGAATTGTGGGTGACAGCCCAAGGAACACCTGTGCCAAGTTTCAGCTTCTGGGTGTGGCCAGTCTTCTCAACTTAGGGCGTTTTAACTTTTTACAGTTTAAGTTTAAGTTTTACATGTAATTACATACTACATAGTTACATGTAAACCTCAATATTTGGTGCGCGACATCTTAAAAACGCAAGGTCAGATTTCGGTCCGTATTTTTTCTTCTTGTTCGTCTCCAGCAGCTCTGATCAAATATGTAAAAACTGGAAAATCTATTTTTATCCCCCCCCCCCCCCCTCTGGCCTTAATAGGTTAAATTTCGAAACAATGATAACCATATCTTGATAAGAATTCAAGATTCTTCTTAACAATGTTGAGGTTAATTTTGCTAAATTACCGCTTGGTAGCCACTCTTAATTTGATTGGCTACTAGCATTTCTAGTAGTCCAAAAGTTACCACCTAGTGTGTAGTGGGCAGTCACTAACCACATGCCTGTGACATGGTTATGAGTAACCGGCTATTAAGTGATCACTTTTTAGTTGTACAATGGTTATGACATGGACATGACGCCTGTCTAACATGGTTATGACATGGTTATGACATGGTTAAGTTGTAAAATGGTCATGCTGTCGGGATTCTAGTCTATGACCTAAAGTTTTAGGGGCCCAAAGCTATCACATTTTGTTTGTGTTTCAAAATATGGGCATATAGTTTTTGGCTCAAAACAAGGCCATCGTTGTCCAAACTGGATTTAAATTCGTGTATGATTTCATGGGACTAACAACTGGCTTATTTTGTAAATCTTAACGAAGAATATAAATCTACTAATTGTAGATATATTAGAGTATATTAAAATACAGGTTTTTTCAGAGGATCCTGCTCCCGAAGAAGATCCTGCTCCCGAAGAAGATCCTGCTCCCGAAGAAGATCCTGCTCCGGAAGAAGAAGCTGATCACGAAGAAGAAGCTGATCACGAAGAAGATCCTGCTCCCGAAGAAGATCCTGCTCCCGAAGAAGAAGCTGATCCCGAAGAAGAAGCTGCTCCCGAAGAAAATCTTGCTCCCGAAGAAGATCCTGCTCCCGAAGAAGATCCTGCTCCCGAAGAAGATCCTGCTCCGGAAGAAGAAGCTGCTCCCGAAGAAGATCCTGCTCCCGAAGAAGAAGCTGTCGGCGGTAAGTTAAGGAATGACTTTGGTTCATTTCCCTCGTATAAATTTCTTAAATGTGTGACGGAATTGACCAGGTGGTACCTTTTAACGAAAAAAGTCGCTAAATATGTAGATAATTGTCATATGGAACTATTCTATGAACTGGAAATTCAAAAATGTTGTCAAACACGGCAGCAAGGGGCCGATGTTAACTCTGTCACGTTTTTATAGTGTGACAATGTCGGAATCTCACTGCCGGCCGAATTTAAGCGATATCTTATCATCTGATAAAGATATCGTTATGTGACCAAGTTTGCCTAGAGGATGAAACGATTGTCCTAACCATGGATGGTTTATATACCATATAGTTTCATAGTGTGACAAATTTTACCTCATCGACCATCGCGCTATTTAATAGGGCTACCAATATCCTCAAACGTCAATGAACGTGTCCTTAAATAAAATTTACCTTATCTGTCTTACAAGTATCTGACTGAAAAGCCGCACAATGTTTTGAGTATACGAGGTTTGTGATGTTATTTGGGTTTATTGGGGTCTATAGATCAAAAAAAATTTGGGTAGACAAAAAGTTATGTGTCCACCAGGTCTGTGGCCACGCCCTTTTATATGATCGTGGGAAAATCTTACCTTTTCCTAATATAAATTCATATTTGCTCAATCAAAGCAAGTAGGGTATCAAATCTAATGTTTTTTTACCCAAGAAATCGATTGGTGACATCTATTTGACTTTCAGACCACTCCCAGATAAGATAACCACGCCCATATTTACAATTGAGCATCAAAATTCCCAAAAATGTAAGCAATTTTTTTGGGCAAGTTGGGTGTTGAGACCTATGTTTTTTGACCCAAGAAATCGATTGGTGATATCTATTTGACATTCAGACCACTCCCAGATAAGATAACCACGCCCATATTTACAATCGAGCGCCAAGAATTCCCAAATACTCATATGGATCTGAAGACATTCCCGTCTATATAACTTCCGGCCCAGGGTTTGAGACTTGGAATAGCTCAAGTGACCCATCAGAAACAAATTTGGCCTGGGTAGAAATTGTTACTATGGTGCAGTTTTGCGCAATTGACCACGCCCTTTTTTTAGCACTTTTGCGACTTTAAAATCAAAATAACTCCGCTTCTAATTGGAATTAAAAGCTCAACTTGGCTTTACAGTTGTTCAGAATCATCACATTTAGGGGGGTAGAGCATATTTCTAAAGTCACTAGACATCAGGTTGTTGAGTTATATGACCACACCCTTTTTTAGGCGGGGTGCAACACCTAACCCCGTCAATCCCGCTAATCCCGCCAATTCCCGCGTAATCCTGCCAAATCCCGCGTAATCCCGCCTAATTCCGCGTAATCCCGCCTAATTCCGCGTAATCCCGCCTAATTCCGCGTAATCCCGCCTAATTCCGCAAGTGCGGGGTTAGACGGAAATTGGCGGGGTTATGTGCAACATCTAACCCCACCAATCCCGCCTAATCCCGCCAAATCCCGCGTGATCCCGCCAAATCCCGCCTAATTCCGCAAGTGCGGGGTTAGACGGAAATTGGCGGGGTTATGTGTTGCACCCCGCCTTTTTTTCTCTCGCGAGTCATCATTTGCACACTAAATACAAGATATCTCGGCTTCTGATTGAGCTAGGTGCTTATCCGGGGCATTAACTTGTTCAAAATCATCAGTTTAAGTAGAGCATAATTTCAAAGTCCTCAAAGATCAGGTTGTTGAGTTATATGGCCAAAACCTATTTTTACGCTCTTGCAAGTAGCAATTGCAGCGCTTAAAATTAAAATTACTCAGCTTCTGATTGGAGTTAGGAGCTAAACTCGGGCATCAAAATGGTAAGAATTATCATATGGAGTGGGGTAGAACGTGGTTTCAGTCCTCAGACATCAGGTTGTTGAGGTATTAGGCCAAAACCTATTTTAACGCTCTCGCCAGTAGCAATTATAGCACTTAAAATCAATATAACTCGGTTTCTGATTGGAGTAAAGAGCTAAACTCTTAAATGGTCAGAATTATCATATTAAGTGGGGTTAAGCATAATTTAAAAGTCCTCAAACATCAGGTTGCTGAGGTATTAGGCCAAAACCTATTTTAACGCTCTCGCCAGTAGCAATTATAGCACTTAAAATCAATATAACTCGGTTTCTGATTGGAGTAAAGAGCTAAACTCTTAAATGGTCAGAATTATCATATTAAGTAGGGTAGAGCATAATTTCAAAGTCCTCAAAGATCAGGTTGTTGAGTTTTTTGGCCAAAATCTATTTTTACGCTCTTGCAAGTAGCAATTGCAGCGCTTAAAATTAAAATTACTCAGCTTCTGATTGGAGTTAGGAGCTAAACTCGGGCATCAAAATGGTAAGAATTATCATATGGAGTGGGGTAGAACGTGGTTTCAGTCCTCAGACATCAGGTTGTTGAGGTAATAGGCCAAAACCTATTTTAACGCTCTCGCCAGTAGCAATTATAGCACTTAAAATCAATATAACTCGGTTTCTGATTGGAGTAAAGAGCTAAACTCTTAAATGGTCAGAATTATCATATTAAGTGGGGTTAAGCATAATTTAAAAGTCCTCAAACATCAGGTTGCTGAGGTTTTTGGCCAAAACCTATTTTTACGCTCTTGCGAGTAGCAATTGCAGCGCTTAAAATTAAAATTACTCAGCCTCTGATTGGAGTTAGGAGCTAAACTCGGGCAGTAAAATGGTCAGAATTATCACATTAAGTTGGGTTTCAAAGTCCTCAGACATCAGGTTGTTAAGTTGTTAGGCAACACCATATTTCTAAGCACTTACGGGCATATTTCAAAACTATAGAATGTTACGGTGTGACAATTTTACCGATTTTTTCCGAAAAATGTCCAAGAAAACAGGTTCATTATTGGTTAAATTATGTTTCTAAGGCTTTTCAAACCTATGATTTACATATCTGCCAAAGAAAATAGTGAGAAATCAATCCGTTTTTGAGTAATTAAAAGTCGAAATTTCGTTACGGAGTGACTAGATAAATTTTAAGATTTTGGTACACCCATATTCTGACCTAATTTTTATCTCAGATATTCTTGAAAGTTGCATTTTGACGGCTTCCAGGCACTTTTCAGACATTTTCCTTCAATAATTAATCAAGAAAAAGTGTGTATTGCCTAAGGAATAAAAAATTTGAGGCTTCAAAAATGTTGGGGATTGTTACAGAGTGACTTTTACGGAGTGACGCATCAAACAGTCTCTCATTCCACTCGAATTTTTCATCATTTTTCATCCTGTTCCTGGCTCTAAATAGTAGAATTCTTTTCAAAATTAGATAGATAACACTTAAACAAGGTAGACACACAAATTTATTGATGTGAAATAAATCAAATCTGGTACAATTCATATAAGTCTTGATCACAATTATGAATAAAAATACGATCATGTGATAAAAATCAACCCTGGAGCTTACAACTCTGTAAATTTCCCTTAAAATACAGCACATTTAAATCACTGTTTGAAAAATATAAACAACTGCATAAAAATCAGTCTCATTGGTTTAACTTTCTACAAATATTACTCGGTTAAGAATCTGTTACAGAGTGACATATCATAATGAAATGTTTAAAAATCTGGGCTTATTTGTTTAAAGTTATAAACTGTACAATGTACACAGATTAACGAAAATTTAAACCTTTACACCCCACTTATAAGCAAGTTCAGGTACTTCAAACTCTATTCTCCTCCCTGTTCCCGGCAAAAGCTTCGGCATACCAATAGCTCCTTTCACGTCACTAAGTTCGTAATCATGGACGTCCTCTTTGTCAGGCCATTTCCAGATTGATCCAGGTTTTCCAGCTGGTACAAGGCACTTAACGGTAAGGTTACTGCTGTCTGGCTTGCCAATAACTTTTCCTGGGTAAAGTTCACCCTCCTGGGTAAAGTTCACCCTCCCAGTTAACAATCACGAATTGATCAATGTTGTAAGTTTCACAGCTGTTAGAAGATGATGGTGTTTCCTCCTCTCCAATAACTGTTGTTGAAGTCGTCTGAGCAGATGATTCATCGGCAAACTCTTCTTTATCAAAGATCCATCAACTGACGTGTCCCTAAAGGTAAGGATGCAGCTGTTATCTTTGAAAGAACGGACAATGTGGTGCACTTTCAAGGTTCCTGGAACTGGTCTTGCTTTCCTTCTGCACTCCTCTTCCATACCTGAGGCTAGATCTCCAACATACACGACATTGATTGACTTGAGAAGACTGTCAGCATAGGTTGCAAACTCCTTTGGTGTATTTATGACAATAAAAAAATTCGTTACGGAGTGACAATGTCCCTTGAATTTGTCACTCCGTAACACAGCGTTACGGAGTGACCAAAGTTTGGCTCATCATATCTCCTCTTAAATTATAATGTTATCAATCGAAAATGTTGGAAAATCTTAGTGTAAGGTCACTGAGATACTTCAGAAAATATGGAATGGAATAGGCGTGTAGTTAAGAGAATAGATAACTTTTTTACACTTTTTTGTTACGGAGTGACAAAATTTTTAAAACCACATTTTCCCCATGTTAGCTCTTTCTCCTTGATTGGGCTTTATATCAGTCTGTAAAAATGAAATCTCATATACTAACACACAAAATTTGGGTTTAGTTCAAGCAAAGGCCTAATCTAGAGACGTTATGAAGTAGAGCACACTTTTGAGGATTGTTTTAGTGTCGATGATAGAATGAGCTATTTTTGCATGATAGAGTAGATTGATGTCTCCAATATTGCAGATTTTCAAAGTATAAAGTTCAAACATTCTAAAATTTCCAAAATTGGATTGATAAAAGCATTTTTAAAATTTCCTCCAAGTGGAACCAGTTTTGAAATATGCCCTTACTTGCAATAATTACAACACTCAATTAAAGATATCTCGGCTTCTGATCGGAGTTCGGTGCTTAGCCTGGGCATGAAGATATTTAGAATTAGAGCAGTACTAAGGGGAGTAGAGGTTCTACCTGATGTCTGAGTACTCTATTCAATGCGAAGCTTTGATCATTTTAATGTCCAAGATTAACACTCAACTCCAACCAGAAGCGGAAATATCTTAGTATTTCATTATGAAATGCTGTTATCACGAATGCATAAACTACTAATACTACTACTACTATGTCAGAACTAAGTCCGATCTACGCCAGATAACCCCCTCCATATATCCCTGTCCCGCATCAGGGTTCGCAGTTCCTCTTTAGAGTTTGTCCCAACTACCTTCAGTAACATAGACAAGTAGCTTTGTCTTGGTCACGTAAAGGTTATGGTCTATTAACTCATCAACCTGATACCAGAGGACTTTGAGATCACTACTCAATGTGATAGTTCTGAACATAATAAGCATGTTAATGGCCAAATTCAGCTTCGAACAAGGCCTGACCGAGGCCGAGGAAAAATCGCTATTCCTCGGTAAAACCGAGGCCAAAAACTCGGTCGACCCTTCGCTTCGAACTCCGATCAGAAACCGAGTTATATTGATTTTAAGTGCTATAATTGCTACTGGCGAGAGCGTTAAAATAGGTTTTGGCCTAATACCTCAACAACCTGATGTCTGGGGACTGAAACCACGTTCTACCCCACTCCATATGATAATTCTTACCATTTTGATGCCCGAGTTTAGCTCCTAACTCCAATCAGAAGCTGAGTAATTTTAATTTTAAGCGCTGCAATTGCTACTTGCAAGAGCGTAAAAATAGGTTTTGGCCAAAAAACTCAACAACCTGATCTTTGAGGACTTTGAAATTATGCTCTACTTAAACTGATGATTTTGAACAAGTTAATGCCCCGGATAAGCACCTAGCTCAATCAGAAGCCGAGATATCTTGTATTTAGTGTGCAAATTATGACTCGCGAGAGAAAAAAGGGTGTGGTCATATAACTCAACAACCTGATGTCTAGTGACTTTAGAAATATGCTCTACCCCCCTAAATGTGATAATTCTGAACAACTGTAAAGCCAAGTTGAGCTTTTAATTCCAATTAGAAGCGGAGTTATTTTGATTTTAAAGTCGCAAAAGTGCCAAAAAAGGGCGTGGTCAATTGCGCAAAACTGCACCATAGTAACAATTTCTACCCAGGCCAAATTTGTTTCTGATGGGTCACTTGAGCTATTCCATGTCTCAAACCCTGGGCCGGAAGTTATATAGACGGGAATGTCTTCAGATCCATATGAGTATTTGGGAATTCTTGGCGCTCGATTGTAAATATGGGCGTGGTTATCTTATCTGGGAGTGGTCTGAATGTCAAATAGATATCACCAATCGATTTCTTGGGTCAAAAAACATAGGTCTCAACACCCAACTTGCCCAAAAAAATTGCTTACATTTTTGGGAATTTTGATGCTCGATTGTAAATATTGGCGTGGTTATCTTATCTGGGAGTGGTCTGAATGTCAAATAGATATCACCAATCGATTTCTTGGGTCAAAAAACATTAGTTTTGATACCCTACTTGCTTTGATTGAGCAAATATGAATTTATATTAGGAAAAGGTAAGATTTTCCCACGATCATATAAAAGGGCGTGGCCACAGACATGGTGGACACATAACTTTTTGTCTACCCACATTTTTTTTGATCTATAGACCCCAATAAACCCAAATAACATCACAAACCTCGTATACTCAAAACATTGTGCGGCTTTTCAGTCAGATACAGGATTCATTATTTGTTAGAAACAGCTGAGGCATGAAAATATTTAACAAATTTAACCGTGCAAAATTTTAAACGTACAAGTGCGTACGTTTATTGCTTCTATGAGTACAATTTTATTGCCTTTATTAAATATAGGACAGTGGAATTATACATGAATTGATGTTAACATTATAAACTATTCATGCAACACTCAGTAGTACAATACTTTACTCCATCAGGAGGTAAGATAAAGTGGAGATCTGACGGTAGATGTGGTATATACTATCCCCTCCCTGATAACAGTCTTGCTGAGTGTGACCCTGATGGGGAGAACCCGTGTTGTAGTTACGAGTATTATGGTAGGTGTGGTAACTCGGCTGAGTACTGCTCTTGTCCTGACTGTGTAGACTACAGAGTTATATATAGGGACTGGAGAGAATCAGGAGGTAAGAGAAAGTGGAGGTATGACGGTGGATGTGGTAGTGATTATCAACTCCCTGATAACAGTCCTGCTGAGTGTGACCCTGATGGGGAGAACCCGTGTTGTAATGACTGGTATGGTGTGTGTGGTAACACGGCTGGGCACTGCTCTTGTTCTGATTGTGTAAACTACACCTTTGTAAGGGAGTGGAGAGAATCAGGTGGTAAGATAAAGTGGAGGTATGACGGTAGATGTGGTAGTGATTATCAACTCCCTGATAACAGTCTTGCTGAGTGTGACCCTGATGGGGAGAACCCGTGTTGTGGTGGCGTTTGGGGTAATGTGTGTGGTAACACGGCTGATCACTGCTCTTGTTCTGATTGTGTAAACTACACCTTTGTAAGGGAGTGGAGAGAATCAGGTGGTAAGATAAAGTGGAGGTATGACGGTAGATGTGGTAGTTGGGATCCCCTCCCTGATGGCAGTCCTGCTGAGTGTGACCCTGATGGGGAGAACCCGTGTTGTAATGGCTGGTGGTGTGGTAACACAGCTGGGCACTGCTCTTGTTCTGACTGCGTTGACTACAGAGTTATATATAGGGACTGGAGAGAATCAGGAGGTAAGAGAAAGTGGAGGTATGACGGTAGATGTGGTAGTAGGCATCGCCTCCCTGATAACAGTCCTGCTGAGTGTGACCCTGATGGGGAGAACCCGTGTTGTGGCTATTATGATGATGTGTGTGGTAACACGGCTAAGTACTGCTCTTGTCGTCGCTGTGTAGACTACAGTGTCATATATAGGGACTGGAGAGAATCAGGAGGTAAGAGAAAGTGGAGATATGACGGTGGATGTGGTAGTGATTATCCCCTCCCTGATAACAGTCCTGGTGAGTGTAACCCTGACGGGGAGGACCCGTGTTGTGGTGATAATGGATGGTGTGGTAACACGGCTTATTACTGTTCTTGTCCTGACTGTGTAGACTACAGTATAGTAAGCGAACTGAGAAAATCAGGAGAAAATTGTACAGTAGCAAAAGTAGGCGGGTTTCTGAAAAATGCGTGTTTCAATGATAACAAGAAACGACACTATTTCAAGTGTACCCACTCTGATGACGTGTACTTTAGACAGAATAGTGGGATGCTTTGGAAGCAGCTTGAGAGTGTTTCTACAGTGTGTGAGAAAGATCCCCACATGTATCAGGCATGTGGGTTAAACACAGAAATAACAAACACAGATGTGCTGTGTGGAGGCTTGTTTTGCGATAACAATTATACCAGATGTGATGAGAACTGCAGTGTAGATAAGGATTGTCCCGTATCACAAATCAATAGCACGCCTGACCCACAAGAGTACACTGTAACTAGTCAAGCTCCTTATTATGATAAATATATTAGTACTGGATTGTACCAAACAACAGAGCTGATCTGTAATGATAAATGTGACTCTAGAACCAAGTGTATAGATGAAAGTGATTGTAACGGGTATAAATACGGAGTTAACTGCACAATTACTCACAGATATAATGGGAGGAACAAGTATCTTCCTGTACAGAATATATGTGACGGAGGCAGATACTGTGATAAAGGAGAGGATGAACAGGACTGTAATGTAACTGAAACTACCCCACACACGTGTACACATTACGGCATTAAAGTGTGGAATAACAAGATTAAAACAGTACCTATATTGAAATATACTAGGTGCTCAGTATTTGATATAAAGGAGGACATCTATCCATACTGTTTCATCTATTTAGATCAGACTAACTGTTCTGATAGTGAGCGAGTAGGAGGGTATTGTGATATTAATGGGTATAACTCGAGTGTTTCTAAGTACATGTTGTGTTATGAAAAGGATGAGAAGACTAGTTTACCAGTAAAGTTATGTGACGATAACCTTCAAAACAGCTGTATATCACCGTCTACTTCCACTGATTGTAGAGTACACAAACACAGGATGTGTGACGGAGTGTGGGATTGTACTGATGGAAGTGACGAACTAAATGACATGTGTGAATACATGACGAAGAGATTTCAATGTGTCCGTAGGTTTAACTTTGAAATAAGTATGCATGTCGGAATACCAGTTTCTTGGATAATGGACAATGAGACGGATTGTATGGATGGAATGGATGAACAGGTTGAGCTTGGGGGCTTAAGTTTCTGTGGCAATCACGATGACAAAACCTATCGTTTTAAAGAAAGTGATGAAACTTGCAAAAACGTCTATCTGTGTCCGAAAGGTGATAAACCATACGTTCAATTCGAACAACTCTGTGATGGAGTGGAGACGTGTGGTGACGGTGCAGAGAATGAGGTTTGTAGGATCGCTAGAGATTTGCCAACGATCAATAAGACCGCTCTTTATCACAGATCAAGTCGAGATTTATGCGAGGACACTAACTGTGAAGTGAAAGAATTCATACGACCCTGGATTGATGTATTCGGAATAACAAAGTCAGAGTTAATCGTTCCGACCTCTAAGGTTAATTGCAGCTATTTGTTTGGTGAATATTACCTGTTTCTCAGTTGCATGGAGCTATGTCTAGATGCCCCATGTCTTCTAAATAAAAACAGAACATTGTTATACAATTCATGTCCTGGACAATATCCTGATCGAGTATATACACTTGCTAACAACTCTTTTCTAACGTTTGTTGAGAACTCAACGAAAGGCCAATATCACCAGGACTATTTTCAATGCAATAACAGTATATGTGTGGAATACAAGCAAGTGTGTGATCTCATAGATGACTGTGGGGACATGAGTGACGAGTTGAATTGTGCAAATCACATGATTTGTGAAGACACTTTGAACTCAACTAAACATCAGTTTATTTCCTTATCGCAGAGATGTGATGGCATATACGATTGCTTTGACCTTTCAGACGAATGCAATACCGATTGTGAGAAAAGAATACTTGGAAACTGGATACTGCAGGTATTATGCTGGGTCATGGGTGTACTAGCATTGATCTTCAACTCATACACCGTATTCCGTGGGTTGATAACTCTTCATCATAGTAGGACTGGAAGTATGTTAACTAATAAGGCAATGGTCAGTCTTATCGGAATAGGGGATCTATTTATCGGATTATACTTAATTATGTTGTCTTTCTATGATAGTTTTGTACATGGGAACGGGTTTTGCAGGAATCAAGCCGAATGGTACACCGGAACAGCATGCTCCATATTAGGGGTCATCAGCACAGTTGGATCACAAGTGTCCCTTTTCGCAATGACAGCTTTAAGTATCATCAGAATGTATAAGCTCACTTTTAAGAAAATGAGTATTCCAGGCCCTGCAAACAGAAGTACTACTATCAAACTCGCTTCCCTAGTCACCGGAATTATCGCTGCTTCAATAGCTATAGCTGTTACACCATTGATACCTTCATTAGAGGAATATTTTGTACAAGGAATGTACTATGATCCCATCTACAAAGTGTTCATAGGCTTCCCCAACAAAGAGAAACATGTCAATGTTCTTCAAGCTCATTATAATACCACTAACATAACTACGGATTTAACCTGGAAACAAATCGGTGATAAGGTGGACGGTATGTTCACTCAGGAACATGGACTTTTGAGTAGACGTCCAGTTCATTTTTATGGTAACGACGGTGTCTGCTTATTCAAGTACTTTGTTCGGAGTGACGATGCAAGAAGAATCAGACAATCGATAGAAAGTAGAGCAGACTTAACTGATCATAAAGGAGATCCAGTAGTTTGGCTTATGCTTGGTGTCAACTTAGTTTGCTTCATCATCATCACTTTTTGCTACATAGTTATCAATATCCAGACAAGGATTTCTTCACGGAGATCAGGACAGCATCATACCCCAGAAAGAGTGAGGGACAATAGGGCTCTACAGAATAAAATTACTCTCATTGTTGCGACTGATTTCCTTTGCTGGGTACCATTTATTGTTATAAGCGGTTTGCATAATCTTGGCGTTTTTGATGCAACTAAATGGTATGTTACGTATGCGATGATAGTTCTTCCTCTTAATTCTGTTATCAACCCGCTGATATACGAAAAAACTTTAACAGAGTTCCTAGGCAGAAAGTTGGGAGATGTAAAGAGACTTATCAGGCTAAGTATCTCCGCAGTCGTATATTCTATTACAAGATTCATTTCGACGATGACTGAAGACATACAGAGCGGGAACAATGATCTGGATGTCATACAGATGGAACATATAAGAGTACAAGAGGATCAGGAACTTTCAGATCAAGTATTAGCTGAGACAGAAAATCTGTAAGGTGTTTATTGTATGATACTTGCTACTTATATTTTACAGTTCTGACTTCATAGTTCGTGTATATATGTAACATTTGTATTTAAAATTTAATTGTAATCGATTAATTCAGTTTGCTGCTACCGCGTAGTAAGCCTTTGCGTGTGTATACTTGTACATTACTATACAATGTACACCACGGAGGATGATTCACATTTGACCCGATCTCAGAAGAAACTCAAGGATTTCAACTATGAAGAAAAGGAAGATGTAGAGGGCTGTGCTGATAGATGGTTCACTTCGATGGCAAGACAACTGAAATTAGAAAACTTCGAAATTCGTGGAGATATGGACCAAGAAATACTCATGTCTCCGTCTATCTATAAAAGGTATATGGCAAACTGGGTTATGGAAGCAGCAGACCTCGTACGACGGCAGAGTAGTCAGATGAGCGCTATGATGGAAATCGTTGAGTGCCTCAAGACGGAAGCACTAGCAGACAAGGAAAAGATGGTCAGGTTGCAGGACCAGTTGCTAGTGCAGAAGGACGAACAACTACAGTTGTTTAAGACGTCAGTTGAAGAGACAGTACAAACAACGGTGGAGACAGGGATTAAGAGCTACAGTGCCGCTGTACAGAAGAACAGCACAAATGGCGCGGTCTGCAACAGTAAAATTCTGAAGAATGTAATGAAGAGTGTGGCTGCAGAGGAGGACAGGAGCAAGAATCTGATAGTGTTTGGACTGAAAGAAGAGGATGGAGAACAGCTTCCAGCTCTGGTAACCGCAGTATTGGAGGAGATCGGGGAGAAACCTCATTTTGAAGCGACTAGAGTCGGCTGGAAGAGGCCAGGTATCACGGCTATCCGACCAGTCAAGATCACCGTCCCAAGCTCAACAGCAGTTCATCAGATTCTGATGAAAACAGGGAGACTGAGGATGGCTGATGCACACAAAGATGTATGGATCTGTCCTGATAGATCCAGTGAAGAGCGTGCAGCAAGGAAGAACGTGGTAACTGACCTGAAGAAGAAGAGGGCTGAACAGACTCATCTCGACCACTACATCCGTAACGGGAAGGTCTGTAGCCGGGTTAAGAAGGCACCATGATGACGTAATTCATGTTTCTCGGACACTGATCAGTAGAATATGTACTTGTAGGAGTATTTTAAGAGTTTACGGACGTTATCTGTATTTGAGAGACAATTATATTATATAAATACATTATTATTTGATTGTTTCACACTTTTCACGTTTCATAATTTTATTACTAGGTGGAGGTGATGTTATTGAGACTTTGGGCGGCCAAAAAACTCCTGTTCTGAAAGTTGTCCTCTGTACTTGTTTCACTGACCCACGCTTTTTAGCATTTATACATTTCGGCCCATTTTATATGTTTGTTCGAATTGCTGTACATTTGTATACTTGCTATTTTGTAAAAGTTTCAAATCAAATCAATTAATTCTATCTTAAAATATTATGATTGTATCTATAGTTTACTCCTCAGCAATGTCTAATACTTACAGAATTACATCCTGATTCGTTTAATCTTTCAAATAACGAATCTAACAGTTGTACATAATAATATTGTGAGCGATGTTCAATTTTATACCTGGAATCTGAATTCTGATTTCTTATTTTCAAAGATTTCATTTTCAATTGTACTAATGCGCTAATGATTAGTTAAAACTATCTAAATTAAATGTCTTAATAGTAACGTTTTACATTAACTTCCTCAATATGATTAAGAAAGTACGACCGAAAATCTAAGGCTAAGACGACACATAGATCACCAGGCCAGATGTCTCACTATCCCACAAACATCGATTGCAATAATTGGTAATAGTAACCATGCAATGCAATGGTAACTTGCAGTAATTGGTAATACTTTAATAGCATCCGCTGGAGGGGGGGTGAGGCTATGGTTTAAAATGGCATCGATTTGGTCTAACGTCACCCATAGTCAACTGACTAATTGGTTACTGGACCAAAATCTGTGAAATTTCGGTTCTAGAAATATCATATTTAAAAATGGGACAGCATTTGGAAATTTTGATGTTTCGTTTTGTAGCGCTTTCCCTGGGAAGCTTCCTCCGCGCCGGCCGGAATCAAACTTCCAGTACCTCAATTTGGTTTCATGCCAACCATAGTCAACTAACTAAAAACTGTTATTATAATCTATAATTCTATAACCTGGAAGAGGGTAGTAGCCTTACTATGTGGTTACTATGTGGTTACTATGTGGTAACTATACGGTTACTATGTGGTAACTATATGGTTACTATGTGGTAACTATATGGTTACTATGTGGTTACTATGTGGTCACCATGTGGTTACTATGTGGTTACTATGTGGTTATTAGGTGGTTACTATGTGGTTACTATGTGGTTACTATGTGATTATTAGGTGGTTACTATTTGGTTACTATGTGGTAACTATATGGTTACTATGTGGTTACTATGTGGTAACTATATGGTTACTATGTGGTAACTATGAACAGTTGAAACAGTACCTCTCGTACTGTGGTTACTATGTGGTTACTATGTGGTAACTATATGGTTACTAGGTGGTTACTATGTGGTTACTAGGTGGTTACTATGTCGTTACTATGTGGTTACTAGGTGGTTACTTTGTGGTTACTATGTGGTTATTATGTGGTTACTAGGTGGTTATTATGTGGTTACTATGTGGTTATTAGGTGGTTACTATGTGGTTACTATGTGGTTACTAAGTGGTTACTAGGTGGTTACTATGTGGTTACTAGGTGGTTACTATGTGGTTACTAGGTGGTTACTATGTCGTTACTATGTGTTTACTATGTGGTTACCATGTGGTTACTATGTGGTTACTATGTGGTTACTATGTGGTTACTATGTGGTTACTATGTGGTTACTATGTGGTTACTATGTGGTTACTATGTGGTTACTATGTGGTTACTATGTGGTTACTATGTAGTTACTATGTGGTTACTATGTGGTTACTATGTGGTTACTATGTGGTTACTATGTGGTTACTATGTGGTTACTATGTGGTTACTATGTGGTTATTATGTGGTTACTAGGTGGTTATTATGTGGTTACTATGTGGTTATTAGGTGGTTACTATGTGGTTACTATGTGGTTACTAAGTGGTTACTAGGTGGTTACTATGTGGTTACTAGGTGGTTACTATGTCGTTACTATGTGTTTACTATGTGGTTACCATGTGGTTACTATGTGGTTACTATGTGGTTACTATGTGGTTATTATGTGGTTACTAGGTGGTTATTATGTGGTTACTATGTGGTTACTATGTGGTTACTATGTGGTTACTATGTGGTTACTATGTGGTTACTATGTGGTTACTATGTGGTTAATATGTGGTTACTATGTGGTTACTATGTGGTTATTATGTGGTTACTAGGTGGTTATTATGTGGTTACTATGTGGTTATTAGGTGGTTACTATGTGGTTACTATGTGGTTACTAAGTGGTTACTAGGTGGTTACTAGGTGGTTACTATGTCGTTACTATGTGGTTACTATGTGGTTACTAAGTGGTTACTAGGTGGTTACTAGGTGGTTACTATGTGGTTACTATGTTGTTATTATGTGGTTACTATGTGGTTACTATGTGGTTACTATGTGGTTACCTGGAAGGGGGTAGTAGCCCGCGATGTGTGGAGATGTGCTAGTGAGACCAGGTCTATCAATATCTTTATACCCCCCGCATCTAGCAACAGCTTCACGTTCTTCTTCGTCTTCAGAAGAGAGTGCATGAATTGCAGAGTCCTGTCTCGCTCCTGAATAATATGATAAATATAATGAATGAATACTCTATATAAGGTACAGATTTCAATAATTACCAATTGAATGGTATAAATATAATTAAATAAATTGGTGCAGTACTACTACAGTCTACACCTACTATAATATGTAATGAGTACCTGTCTACAGGTTACCATGGTTACAGTACCTGTCTACAGGTTACCATGGTTACAGTACCTGTCTACAGGTTACCATGGTTACAGTACCTGTCTACAGGTTACCATGGTTACAGTACCTGTCTACAGGTTACCATGGTTACAGTACCTGTCTACAGGTTACCATGGTTACAGTACCTGTCTACAGGTTACCATGGTTACAGTACCTGTCTACAGGTTACCATGGTTACAGTACCTGTCTATCAGAACACTTGTCTAACATGTGGACCAGGTAGCGCGTGTCATTGAACGTTCCTATCTCTTCGTAATATCTCTTATAGACCACACCCATCGCCTGTAGTGGTCATGGTTACCAATTACAGTAGTCATGGTTACCAATTACAGTAGTCATGGTTACCAATTACAGTAGTCATGGTTACCAATTACAGTAGTCATGGTTACCAATTACAGTAGTCATGGTTACCAATTACAGTAGTCATGGTTACTAATTACAGTAGTCATGGTTACCAATTACAGTAGTCATGGTTACCAATTACAGTAGTCATGGTTACAAATTACAGTAGTCATGGTTACCAGTTACAATAGTTACCATCAGTGATTTGAATACTAAAACTGTTAACTACAACAATATACAGTCTTCTATTTGAATATTATAACTATTGAATACTATTGTAAGCATTAACTAACTAACCTGAAGGCACGTAGTCGTGGTTACTAATAACAGTAGTCGTGGTTACTAACCTGGAGACACATACACCTCATCTGTACAGTAGTAGTCAGTAGAAACCGGTGGTAAATGTCGTTGAAGAACTCGTAGGGTTTGTGAATCTTGGAGACCTTATCGTCCTCTTCTAACAGTAGTCTTAGGTAGTAATCCCCTATCTTTACCTCACTAAGCAAACTATCGTAGTGTACCTGATAACGGTTTAAACGCAATTAGAGCCCGCTGATTAAACGCAATTAGAGCCCGCTGTTTAAACGCAATTAGAGCCCGCTGATTAAACGCAATTAGAGCCCGCTGTTTAAACGCAATTAGAGCCCGCTGTTTAAACGCAATTAGAGCCCGCTGTTTAAACGCAATTAGAGCCCGCTGTTTAAACGCAATTAGAGCCCGCTGTTTAAACGCAATTAGAGCCCGCTGTTTAAACGCAATTAGAGCCCGCTGTTTAAACGCAATTAGAGCCCGCTGTTTAAACGCAATTAGAGCCCGCTGTTTAAACGCAATTAGAGCCCGCTGTTTAAACGCAATTAGAGCCCGCTGTTTAAACGCAATTAGAGCCCGCTGTTTAAACGCAATTAGAGCCCGCTGTTTAAACGCAATTAGAGCCCGCTGTTTAAACGCAATTAGAGCCCGCTGTTTAAACGCAATTAGAGCCCGCTGTTTATACGCAATTAAAGCCCGCTGTTTAAACGCAATTAGAGCCCGCTGATTAAACGCAATTAGAGCCCGCTGTTTAAACGCAATCAGAGCCCGCTGTTTAAACGCAATTAGAGCCCGCTGATTAAACGCAATTAGAGCCCGCTGATTAAACGCAATTAGAGCCCGCTGATTAAACACAATTAGAGCCCGCTGATTAAACGCAATTAGAGCCCGCTGTTTAAACGCAATTAGAGCCCGCTGTTTAAACGCAATTAGAGCCCGCTGTTTAAACGCAATTAGAGCCCGCTGTTTAAAGGCAATTAGAGCCCGCTGTTTAAACGCAATTAGAGCCCGCTGTTTAAACGCAATTAGAGCCCGCTGTTTAAAGGCAATTAGAGCCCGTTGTTTAAACGCAATTAGAGCCCGCTGTTTAAACGCAATTAGAGCCCGCTGTTTAAACGCAATTAGAGCCCGCTGATTAAACGTAATTAGAGCCCGCTGTTTAAACGCAATTAGAGCCCGCTGTTTAAACGCAATTAGAGCCCGCTGATTAAACGCAATTAGAGCCCGCTGATTAAACGCAATTAGAGCCCGTTGTTTAAACGCAATTAGAGCCCGCTGTTTAAAGGCAATTAGAGCCCGCTGTTTAAACGCAATTAGAGCCCGCTGGGCCCGCCGGGCTCTAATTACGTTTAAACGTAATTAGAGCCCGCTGATTAAACGCAATTAGAGCCCGCTGTTTAAACGCAATTAGAGCCCGCTGTTTAAACGTAATTAGAGCCCGCTGATTAAACGCAATTAGAGCCCGCTGATTAAACACAATTAGAGCCCGCTGTTTAAACGCAATTAGAGCCCGCTGATTTAACGCAATTAGAGCCCGCTGATTAAACACAATTAGAGCCCGCTGATTAAACGTAATTAGAGCCCGCTGTTTAAACGTAATTAGAGCCCGCTGATTAAACGCAATTAGAGCCCGCTGTTTAAACGCAATTAGAGCCCGCTGTTTAAACGCAATTAGAGCCCGCTGTTTAAACGCAATTAGAGCCCGCTGTTTAAACGCAATTAGAGCCCGCTGATTAAACGTAATTAGAGCCCGCTGTTTAAACACAATTAGAGCCCGCTGTTTAAACGCAATTAGAGCCCGCTGTTTAAACGCAATTAGAGCCCGCTGTTTAAACGCAATTAGAGCCCGCTTTTTAAACGCAATTAGAGCCCGCTAATTAAACGCAATTAGAGCCCGCTGTTTAAACGCAATTAGAGCCCGCTGTTTAAACGCAATTAGAGCCCGCTGTTTAAACGCAATTAGAGCCCGCTGTTTAAACGCAATTAGAGCCCGCTGTTTAAACGCAATTAGAGCCCGCTGATTAAACGCAATTAGAGCCCGCTGTTTAAACACAATTAGAGCCCGCTGTTTAAACGCAATTAGAGCCCGCTGTTTAAACGCAATTAGAGCCCGCTGTTTAAACGCAATTAGAGCCCGCTGTTTAAATGCAATTAGAGCCCGCTGTTTAAACGCAATTAGAGCCCGCTAATTAAACGCAATTAGAGCCCGCTAATTAAACGCAATTAGAGCCCGCTGTTTAAACGCAATTAGAGCCCGCTGTTTAAACGCAATTAGAGCCCGCTGTTTAAACACAATTAGAGCCCGCTGTTTAAACGCAATTAGAGCCCGCTGTTTAAACGCAATTAGAGCCCGCTGTTTAAACGCAATTAGAGCCCGCTGATTAAACGCAATTAGAGCCCGCTGTTTAAACGCAATTAGAGCCCGCTGATTAAACGCAATTGGAGCCCGCTGATTAAACGCAATTAGAGCCCGCTGTTTAAACGCAATTAGAACCCGCTCCAACTACTAAAACTATACAGTTAATTATCATCTTTAGAGATATTAAACCAGAACACGTGACTGTTTAGTGTTTAATATGTAACCTTACAATATTAGGTTTAACTTTAAACTTAATAACTATATTGTGGTCCCAATCTGCAAATTTGATTTTGAGGGACCAGAAAGAATTATTTTAATTGGGCACTTAGTGACTGAGCTATTTGATTTTGTTCCTAACCTCAAACTCTGTGTGGTTCCAGGAGATGTCGTGTTTCCCTCCCAACTCTTTGTCCACGTTAATGCACGCAGCTCCGCGTCCAGTGCCTCCTTCAACTCCTCACGTGTTTTATAGTTCCAGATCAGAGCAGCAGTCGCGTGGTCGTTGTAGAACCTGGTGAAACTCTGTATCAGTAACCATGGTAACTCCATATCAGTAACCATGGGTAACCTCCATATCAGTAACCATGGTAACCTCCATATCAGTAACCATGGTAACCTCCAGTATCAGTAACCATGGTAGACCTCCATATCAGAACCATGGTAACCTCATATCATATAGCCCATGGTAACCTCCATATCAGTTAACCATGGTAACATCCATATCAGTAACCATGGTAACCTCCATATCAGTAACCATGGTAACCCTCCATATCAGTAACCATGGTAACATCCATAACAGTAACCATGGTAACCTCCATATCAGTAACCATGGTAACCTCCATATCAGTAACCATGGTAACCTCCATATCAGTAACCATGGTAACCTCCATATCAGTAACCATGGTAACCTCCATATCAGTAACCATGGTAACCTCCATATCAGTAACCATGGTAACCTCCATATCAGTAACCATGGTAACCTCCTTTCCGTAACCACAACCATGGAACCCCCATACATTTAACCCTTCCAAGAAACAGTTAAAGGGGCCCCCTTTCAAACGCGGGTTTCTGATTTTAGGAAGTATTGTTTGATGATAGAAAAAGGGGAAATAGAAATTTTACCGGGCGTAGAAGGGGGTTTCCCATTTAAAAACGTTTTTTGCCTGTTCCTTCTTCCCTCAATTTCCCGGGTTTTTATGCCCCTTTTTAAAAGGGGCCCTTCTCTAACCCCGACACGGTCCCCAAAAGGTAGGGCTTCTCTAGATACGTACGTTATTGAAACTTTTGGGCTCTTCGGGCAATCGCCCTTTGGGGTTTCACAAAGGTTTAGCAAATCCCGCCCCTTCATTTTTTCTTTTGGAAAAACGGGTTTAACTGTCTTTACGGGTCACCTTAAAAATTATCTGTCACAACCAAAATAAGGGATAAAAAACATCACTCCCCCCAAAAAAGGGAATTGAAACACCCGGGATCCCCCAAAAAAGAGAGGGGAAAAACACCACGTGATCCCCCCAAAATAAAGATGAAAAAACACCACGTGTGCCCAAAAAAGGAGAGAAAAACACCCCTATCCCCAAAAAGGAGATGAAAAACCACCACTGATGCCAAAAAAGGAGATGAAAAAACCACCAGGGTCCCCCAAAAAAGGGAGATTTTAAAACACCACTTTGATCCCCCAAAAAGGAGAGGGAAAAAAACCACCACGTGATCCCAAATAAGGGATTAAAACCCACCCGTGATCCCAAAAAAGGGATGTAAAAACCACGTGATGCCCAAAAAAGGGAAATTAAAAACACCACGTGATCCAAAAAAGGGAGATGAAAAAAACACCACGGATCCCCAAAAAAGGGAGATGTAAAAAACCACGGGGATCCCCAAAATTTAAGGATTTAAACACCACGATCCCCCAAAAAAAAGTGTAAAAACACCACGGGATCCCCAAAAAAGGGAGAGGTAAAAACCCCACGGGAGGGCCCAAATAAGGGATGTAAAAAACCACGTTTCCCAAAAAAGGAAATTTAAAAAAACCCCGTGATGCCAAAAAAGGGGAATTTTAAAAACCCCCTTTGATCCCAAAAAAGGGAGAAAAAACACCACGTGATCCCCAAAATAAGGGGGAGTAAAACCCCAAACGTGATGCCCAAAAAAGGGGAGATTTAAAACACCCCGTGATGCCCAAAAAAGGGAAATTTGAAAAACCCCCCGTGTTCCCAAATAAGGAATTAAAACCCGCGTAAATTGCCCAAAAAAGGGAAATGTAAAAACACCCGGGATCCCCAAAATTTAAGGGATGTAAAAAACCACTGTTTCCCCCAAATAAAAGATTTTGGGAACCTCACCTCGCATCTCCGGGAAAGTTAAGCGGGGCCAATGGGGAAATTTTTCCTCCTCAGAAAAGAAGTAAATCTTTGAGCAGTGTCCACAACCCTAGCAAGGGTCGGGAAGATTGTTCCATAAACCTGAAATTTTTTTAGTCTATTGAATTTATATACTATTTCAACTACTACATTTATATCCCAAAAAAAATTAATAAAAAAATTGGAAACTGTGGGGTTGGGGAAGTAAAAAAAAAGGGAAGGGAAATAAGTGGGCCTGCCCTCTCCCCCAACCCCAAACCCAAAACCACCTAACCTTTTGCTATCTGTTCCGGGGAACCCTCCCCTTTTTTACTATCTTTTGGGGGGGGTTTAATTTCCCGGTTTATTTCTTTTCCCGGGGGTAAAAAACCTTTTTTCATCTGTTCCGGGGTAACTAACCGTTTACTTTCGGTTCCGGGTTAACCTTTTTCCCTATTTTTTCCGGGGGTAACAAACCCTTTTTAACATCTTTTGCCGGGTAACTAACCTGTTTACTTTTTTCCGGGGGGGGAACAAACCCGGTTTACACGGGTTCCCGGGGGTAACAAAACCTTTTTTACTATCTTTCCCGGGGGGAAACTATCCAGTGGGGAATGTCTAAGAAAGGCCCCCCTCATTTACGCAAAAACTCTTGCTTTTAAAAAGGGCAAATTTTCCGGGGAAACCCCTCCTTTTAAATACCCTTTCACCCCAAAAACCCGCCCTTTGTTAAGGGCCCAACCCGGGGTGGGAACAACTTAAAACCAAAACATTTTTCCCCAATCCTGGGGGGTAAAATTGGTACTAGGGTTACTATTAGTTTACTTTTGGGGACTTTTGGTTACTAGGGTGGTTTTTAGGGGGTTATTTTTCTAGGGTGGTATTGGTTTACGTGGGTTTACATGGGGGGAATCTGGGGGTTTACTTTTGGGGTTCAGGTGGGGTTTATTTTAAGGGTTACAGGGGTCACTGCCCCCCCCGACATCTTTGGGGTTTTACTAGGGTGACAGGGTTACTAGGGTTTACATGGGGTTACTATTGGTTACGATGGGGGCCTTTGGGGTTACTATGGGTTACGGGTTCCTTTTGGGGTTTTACGGGGGTTTAAATTTTGGGGTTTACATTGGTTTACTTTTGGGTTTTCTAGGGTTTTCAAGTTCATGTTCTTTTCCCAGGGGGTTTACTTTTAAACTATGTGGTTACTAGGGGGGGTTACTATTTTGTTACTAATTTTTTACAAAAGGGGGTTCCTTGGGTTTAAACAGGGGACAATTTTCCCAAAGGTTCTTGGGGTTATTAGGGGGCCCCCCTTGGGGTTACTATGGTTTTGGGGTTTTACTATGGGTTAAAAAAAGGTTACTAGGTGGTTTTCCATGGAATGGGTTACTAGGTGGTCACAAGGGGGTTACTATGGTTACATGTGGTTTCCCGGGTTTTTACTAGGGTTACAGGGGGGAAAAGGGGTTTAAACTCGGGGTTACAAAAGGGGGTTTTCTCCCAGCAACATCTCGAGCAAAAATTTAAAAGGGGCGAGTCATAGTTTCACTGAAAGGGAACCCCAGAGAGCGTTAGGAAAGAATCGAGCAAACTTTAAAAACCCAGGGGCCCCTGTACCTCTCACCCGGGTGACATTTCCCAACAAGTTTTCCCTTTTTTTCCGGGAAACCCTTTTTTTGGAGAGCGGGGAGGCTTTTTGAGCCCCGGTCGGGGGTTGGGTTTGTCGTCATGGGCTGCACAGGGGGGGCCCAAGAGCTACAGCTGCAGGGGCTCACCCGTCATGGGCCCAAACTTAAAACTTTTTAACACCAAAAAACCCTACCCGTTTGGTTAGAAACAAACATTTTAAAGTAAAACAATTAAAACGTTTAGTAAATTTAAAAAATTACATTTAGTTTTAGTATAACATACACTTTTATAATAAACATACAGGGTTTAGAAATTAAACAACACGTTTAGAAATAAAACAACACGTTTAGAAAAGGGATAACAAAAACCTTTTAGTAAATTTAAAACCATACACGTTTAGAAAAATATAACAAACAGGGTTAGTAAAGTATAACATACACGTTTAGTATAGTATAAGACATACACGTTTAGTATAGTATAACATACACGTTTAGTAAAGTATAACATACACGTTTAGTATAATTTAGCAACTTTTTTTAAAAGTTTAAAAACATTTTTAAAGAAAAAGTTTAGCTTTCACTTTTTGTATAGTATAACTTACATTTTTAAAATTAACATACAGTTGTAAATTTAAACAAAACCTTAGAAAAAGTATAACATCCCACTTTTAGAAAGAATAACATACAGTTTATAAAGTTAACAAACTTTAGAAAAAATTAAACTACCTTTTAAATAGGAAAAAACATACACTTTATTAAATTTAACATACCGTTTGTAAGAATGCTTTACAGGTTAGTAAATATAACATACAGGGTTTAAAGTATACCCTACAGTTTCTTTATAACAACACTTAGTAAAAGTATAACTTTCATTTTTTTAGTATAGTAAACATACACTTTTTAGTATAGTATAAAAATACCCGTTTAGTAAATTTAAAACATACCGTTTGAAAAAAGTATACAACAGGTTTAGTAAAGTAAAAATACCTTTTAAAAAGTAAAATTTACACTTTAGTATATAAAACCATCCCACTTTAGTAAAGTATAACTTTCCCACGTTAGTAAAGTATAACATCCACGTTTAGTAAAGTATAAAAACATTTTAGTAAAGAAAAAAAACCCGTTTTAATAAAACATACACTTTTATAAAGTTTTAACATCCACGTTTTAGTAAAAAACATACACGTTTTAGTAAAGTATAACATCCCCGGGAAAAAGTAAAACATACACTTTTATAAAAGGTAACCCACTTTAGAAAAAGTAAAAACCTTCCCCGTTAAAATTAAAATTAACTTTCCACTTTTAAGAAAAGGGTTAAAAAACATACACTTTAGAATTTAAGAAATCCCGGGTTTAGTATATTTAAACTACACTTTATAAAGTAAAAAAACTTTTTTTATTAAGAAAATTAAAATCCCTTTTAGAAAAGTAAACCAACCACGTTTTATAGTAAACCCTTTTCCCCTTTTAAAAAATTTTAAAAACATATACTTTTTAGTATAGATAACTTTAACTTTTTTTAAAAGTAAAAACT